GGGATGAGAGTGCTCCAGGAGGAGCGGGATGAGAGTGCTCCAGGAGGAGCGGGATGAGACTGGCCAGGAAGAAACCATCTATTCTTTGGTTCCCTGTACTAGCTGCTGCTGGTTTTCCTCAGACCTATCACCTGTTAGGTATGTGGTTAAGTCTGTGTGTTGGCTGGCTGGCTGGCTGGCTGGCTGGCTGGCTGGCTGGCCAAATGTACTAGGGGTCAGAAAACCTGCTCTCCAGTCTAGGATCTGCCGCCAGTCTGCATGGCCTCGATAGGACACACTTTCTGGGCCTCTGGCTGTAAATCTGAGCTTAACTCCCCTCCATCCCCAGCCTCAGCTCTGATACTCTGATGGCCTGAGTCAGCCTCAGCTCTGGCAGGGCTCTGGCAGGTGGCTTTGGCATAGGGTTCTCTGAGCTATGGCCACCCTGGATTTGGTAAGGAGGTTGTCTGAGGCTCTGGGACTTAGAGCATGCATAGGTTGCAGGGCTGACTCTGGGCAGGCTGGAGGAACATGTGGGCCATTGGGCCTGGCTGTAGAAGCCTTGGTTTTGTGGCAACTTAGTTTTTTCTTTTCTGGGATGATAAAGTGCCCGTGTCATCTTTCCTGGGTATCAGGCTCTGTGAATTTGAGAATGGTAGGGAGGAAATGGGCAAATGGACACGCCCCCAGCAGGAGTGGTGGATGGAGCAGACACGGAAGTGCATGGCATGGCACCGGCTCATTGTTCTGGTTTTTGTTTCTTACAGATCATGATTGAGTTCTGCCCCGGGGGAGCTGTGGATGCCATCATGCTGGGTAAGTCTCTCTTGAATATGCTTGACCCAAAGGAGGTGTGGCCTTGTCAGGGTAGGTGTGGCCCTGTTGGAGGAAGTGTGTCATTGTGTAGGCGGGCCTTGAGGACTCCTAGTGCTCAAGCTCCTCTCCTCCTGGCTGCCTTTAGATCAAGAACTCGCAACTCCATCTCCAGCACCGTGTCAGCCTGCACACTGCCATGCTTCCTCCATGGTGATACTGGACTGAACCTCTGAAACTGCAAGCCAGCCCCAATGAATTGTTGGCCTTAATAAGAGTTACCTTGGTTATGGGGTCTCTTCACAGCAATGGAAACCTTAATTAAGACACACTCCCTGCATCTTTTGGGGGTATGGGGTGACTGCTGGCACTTCCTGTTCAAGATACTCTGTCTTTATGTCAGCTTTTCCCCCTTTTAAACCCTCTTGACCATGTATGTATGATGCCCTCCGTGTGACACTGGGTGGGACACTAAAGTGTCTTAGCCTGTTACTGCTGCTATCACAGAACACCTGCAGCTGGATGAGTTATAAATATTAGATTTGACTCGAGGTCCTGAGGCTGGGGAGTCCAAAGCGAGACACAGTACCTGGCAATTACCCCACACTGAAGGCAGAAGGAAGCACTTGAGTGAGAGAAACAGACAAAAGATATCATCAGGAGCCCACTTCTGTGAGAACAGACGAGCCCCCCAAACAGCATTGGCCTATTTGCTAGGGAAGAGACAATGATCTCACCCCAACTACACTAGGGCTTTCAGAGACTCCTTCATTCCAGCGCCCACCCACTCTCTACTCTTAGGGGAGGGTTATCAGGTCTTGATGCCCTTGGCAAAGAGTGATTGATATCAATGCTAAGAAAATATTGTGTCAGCCGGGCGGTGGTGGCACACGCCTTTAATCCCAGCACTTGGAAGGCAGAGACAGGTGGATTTCTGAGTTCGAGGCTAGCCTGGTCTACAGAGTGAGTTCCAGGACAGCCAGGGCTACACAGAGAAACCCTGTCTCGAAAAACAAAAAAAAAAAAAAAAAAGAAAGAAAGAAAGAAAGAAAGAAAGAAAAAGAAAATATTGTGTCTAAGTCTTTTCCTACTGGCCCAACAAAATACCTGAGCTGGGTACTTTTAAAGAGGAAAGGCTTTTAAAGCTTTGTTTTGGAAGCTGAGAGTTCATGGGGTGGCTTCTAAGGGCCGTATGATGGCAAGTGTTAGAATGGGAGAGAACAGACAGAGATGAGACAGTGAGACAGGAAGTCAGAGAGCTTAAGAGGGTAGTCTTACCTGTTCTACCTGTCTGTCTGTCTATGTCTATCATCTATCTGTCTGTCTATCTATCTTATCTATCTATCTATCTATCTATCTATCTATCTATCTATCATCTATGTATCTATCCATCCATCTATCAATCAATCAATCATCTACCATCTGTCTGTCTGTCTGCTTGCCTGTCTGTCTGTCGTGACAGGGTCTAACTAAGTAACTGGCCTGGAACTCACTATATAGACTAGGTTGGCTTTGAACTCACAGAGATCCTCCTGCCTTTGCCTCGGGAGTGCTGGGATTATAAAGTGTGTACCTCCGAGACCAGTCTCTTACTTTTTTTTTTTTTTATATATAACTTCTGGTTCCTGCAAGAACTATCTAAGGCCAGGCTTATTTCTTCTGAGGGAGGGGCTCCTTATCTAATTACCTAGACTTAGTTACCCCCTCTTAAAGGCTCCATTACCTGCACACTCCCACACTAGAGACTAGAACGTGAGCCACTGGGGACAACATCAAGCCTTACCCCAAACCAGAGTGCTTTGTGATCAATGCCTGCCCAAGACGTATCTCATTAATCTTTGGTTATAGATCTGGAAAGAGTATCTCTGTTTCTTCTTGTGCATGTGTGTGCACATGTATGTGCAGAGGTGCATGTGTGCATGTGTGTATTGTGTGCATGTGTGCATATGTGCTGGCCTCTTACCTCATTGTGGAGCTGAGGAAGACCTTGAACTTCTGATGCTCCTGCTTCTACCTTCCACCTTCCAAGCTGGAATTACATCTCCAGCTTAGAGGGACGCTTTTAAGTGCAAACCGCAATTGCATGCCTGGCTACCCAGATGCAGTTCATATTGGATTTCATATTGAATTTCCAGTTGCATGCAGCCACCACAGAAAAGACATACAGTCCCGTTCCATCAGGCCCTGACTAGATAGTCACTCTCTTCTGGATCTTCTGCATAGCCTTTCCTGCCCCCCACCTGCTCGGGTCTACTAATCTTGACCTCAGAAGAGGACTGTCTCCAAACACTGTATGGTTGGGAAGAGTCCCCAGCCAGCATCTAGAAGGCTCTTGGTGACCTGATGGCTCTCTGGTCCCTCTCAACCTCCCCACGTTTCCTGGTGCCACTGCCAAGCCTTTGTTTCTACTGGCTCTGTGACCCGGGCTGCCTGTGCCCTGAGGTCAAGCGCTCTGTGCTCCTGGGTCTCATTCATTCAGAGGAGATTGCTGTGTGTCCTGGCCTGTCTGTGCACATCCCTCCCCTCTCCCCACCTGGGTCCTAAGCATCGCTCTGCACCCAGCACCAACCTGTGACCCTAACCCATAAGAAGCACCTACTGTGTTGTAGCTTGAGTGTGTCCCCCAAAAGCTCATGTGCTGTAAACTTAATCCTCAGATTCACCCACAGACAGGGTTTGCAGGTGGGTCTGGGAGGAAGTTAGAGTTCCATGAGATCCTGAGGCAGTCCCCATGGGGACATCAGTGACCCGCTAGCACACTTGCTATCTCACCACGTGACACAGCACAAGGACCTTGTGGGTGATGCCATGCTGTTGGGACTTCCATGAACCCTTTCTGTATCAGTTGCCACAGCAAAGTGGACCAAGGCACCCAGAATTCTGCCATGTGTGCCCTGCATCTCAGTGGGTTATTTGTGAACCTGAACCCTGAAGCCTTAAGTCTCTAAAGTGACTTTCAGCAAGTAGCCCTCTGTGCCTTGGTAGCCACATCTGTATGCTAGGGAGAACAGCTCTGTCGGTCCGGTGGTTGTAGTGTGGGGACAGAATTGGTCTGTATGCCAACAGGCTCCTGGAGATGCTTCCCACTGCTGGCCTAGAGAAGATCTGGTGCAGATCTAGCAAGAGCCTGGTGGTGGTACTGTGTAGGGTCAGGTGTCAACCAGGAAATGGTCTGGTGCTAGCCCCTCGAGGGTTGTCAGTGATCGCTCCTCTTTTCCAGAGCTGGATCGAGGCCTCACGGAGCCCCAGATTCAGGTCGTATGCCGCCAGATGTTGGAGGCTCTCAACTTCCTGCATGGCAAGAGGATCATCCACCGTGACCTGAAAGCTGGCAACGTGCTTATGACCCTCGAGGGGGACATCAGGCTGGGTAAGAAGGGCCAGAGGGGCAAGCAGTGTCTGAGTGGGGGTGTCCTGATTGATGGTCCCACCTGGTTGGTGCTGCTGAAGGGGGCGGGACCTCGGCCCGGAAGTGAGTGGATCATCACACAGCCACCCTACAGCCTCCAAGATACCAACAATTCTCCCTGCATCCTTGGACTGCAAGCTACTGTAGTGCTTCTCAGCCAGGGTCAGGGGACATTTGGCAGCATGGAGACAACTGGGGGTGTGAAGGTGTTTCTTGAATCTTGTGAGTAGAAGCCGGGGTGCTGGCCTGGTCCTCACTTCCGGTTTGACAGACTCCGTGGGAGGGCTCGTGTATCCAACCACCTTTACCCGCTGAGCCATCTTGCTGTTTCCCCCAAAATATTTTCAGTACACAATTGATCAAACCCACAGATACACCCATGAGTGTGATTGGAGGCAACTGAGTACCAAAACTGATTTTTTAAATCTCCTTTTTCTTTGTAAGATTCTAGCTAGTCACCACATGTGTACTCTCCCAGCATCATTCCCCAGAGGCGTGGCTCTGACAGCCTCTCATCTTTCTCTCTGCACCATTAAGTACCATGGCTGTGAGTCTGCCATTTGATGGACAGCACATGCATATCAGACAATCCACAAGCACAGGAGGGGTCAAGGGAGAGAGCCTGGAAGTACCAGCGACTTCTTTATCTGGACATGTCCACCACATTGGTCCATGCTGCCCCTCAGTGCTTGTGTGTACATCCAAGTATCTACTGGGCTCAGGGTGCAGGAGGGTGGAGAGAGCTCAGGCCACAGGGTTGGTACCCTGGTTCCGACTCACTTGATAAGCACTCAGCTCCGGTGCCCAGTAATGTCTGATACCAGTTCACTGCAGCATTCCCCACGTTTAACCTTGCCCCTCCAGCATAGAAGTGTCAGCCTTTTTACTTCCTCCAGTGGGTGCCTTGATTTTAGGGATATACGAGAAGCTGTGCCGTAGAGCCTCCATGAGAACTGAGGGGTAATATGAGGCAGAAACGGCACAGTCAGTCAGAGGTGTGCTCTGCAGCATTTGTCAGAGGTCTCAGAGAGGACCAGGACCGGCCCTGGGACACACAGCAAGCAAGAATGGAGCTGGGGTTCACCCAGATGTGGAACTGTCTGAGGCCCCTCTGGCTACCCTCATATCTTTGTACAACTCAGGGCTTCCTGAGAGAATTGCTTGGCAGTTCTTTCTCCCAGGTAAGGGTGTAGGAGATGACATCTGTACACATGCCCTGTCAGAGAAGACTTGGAGGGATGTAAAGTGGGCGGAGCCAGACTCAGACGAGCCTGGTTCAAATCCTGGCTCTGCCACTTCTGTTGTGTGGTGCGATTAAGTGTTGTTGGTTTAGATCCCATCTCTTTAATAGCAGTGTAGGTATACCAGTGGATCCTTCTGGAAGGGTTATGATGAGTGTAGGGGTGAAATGACAGCAGGGTCATACGGGGCGGGTACTAGGCACCTGCTCCTGCCTTGTGATGAGTACGTGCTGTTGTCTCGGGTGTCCTTCCTCAGAGGCTCCCTCTGTAGTTAAGTCTGGCATGGCTCCAGCTGCCCCATCCTGGACTGACTGGGATTGTGTTTACGCAGAAAGAAAATCCGCAGCCTTAGGACACTTGGCTATTGGTAGGGTGTGGCCTCTGGAACTAAAGGATCTACATTGCCCTTGAAGAGTCAGGTCGCCTACCCGTTTTAAGCCTGTTTTTCCATATTCAGAGGGCTGCCTCCTGACCAGGGGTGACTTAATGAAGCATTTCACCCGGTCGACCCTCCTGCACAGCTGAGAGGACCAGCACACACGTGGCCTCTGTCCTGGCTGACCTCGGGAAAAGTCCAGGCTGAGCATGGTCGGCAGACTGAACTGGACTCTCCCCTCAGCCTGCCCACTCCACAGATCTGTGGTGGTGGGGCCAGCTCTCTCTAGCTCATGCCCACAGGGCCAGCTCTGCTGTGCTGTCCAGGTGAGGTTCGGGGCCTGCTCTCCTGAGAAGGGGACCAGTTCTCCTGCTCTCATGACTCGGTAGCCAGCTCCCCGGACTGCGTCGATGGTGAGGGTGGAGCAAAGGGAACACTCCCACATGGAGGCTACCTCATGTATAGCCAGGTCTTACGGTGGCATTTTCTTAATTGAGGTTGTCAATTTCTGACTTGTATCAAGACGACATAAAACCAGCCAGTCAGCGAAGGCGCATCTCTTAGAACCAAACTTAGAAAAAGAGGCAGCTAGGAGTATGTGGTTGGTTAGAGCCACACAGAGCACTGCTCGGCCTCCCTGGCGTCTGCCTTTCTAGGGAACCCCAGTCTTAGAAGATTCCGACAAGACCTAGTTCTACATTTCCTAAGTCACCGGCAAGATGCGCTAGAGCCCATTGGAGGCCGCAGTGTCAGTAATGCTAGCGAAGGGCTCTGATTGGTCCAGCCTAGCTCAGCTGACTAGTCTCTGCCATTAAAGAGTGCGTGCTGTGATTGGCCCAGCTTGTAGGTCTCTGGCATGGAGGGAGGGGCCAGGGCTCAATGCGGAAGCCCTCCTTCCTTTCAGTGTTAGTGTGGTGGGCAAGATGGGCTTTTCAGAGGAAGAGAGGATTAGGGCAGAGAAACAAGTCATTGTTCTCAGCCTGTGAGAATCATGTAGGAATGAGGGGGTTGGCGCAGGAAGCCAGCTCAGAAGACTCCTTTTGCAGTTGAGGTTTGGGGTGATGAGGGGAGATGAGAGGCAACAACAGACAGATAAATAAATAAATAAATAAATAAATAAATAAATAAATAAATAAATATGACGGGGAGCCTGAGCAAACAGCCTCTGTTAATGGGCCACATATTGCTGCCCCAAATGTACAGAAAATAAAATAGAAAGCTTGTCTCGGTAAGGGTAGTCCTTCCAGTCTCAAGGCTGGATAACAAGGGCTTGAGGAAACTGAGGCCCAGAGGAATGGAGCAGTGTGTCTTTGATCACGTTAGCATCCTGTCCCCTCCCTGCCTGGTAGTGTTGCTGCCATGACACCCTCGGAGAGGGCAGATCATCCTGTAATTAGGAGAAGCCTCCTGCTAATGAGTCCAGCTGGGCCACTGGCTACTGCAACCCTATCAGGGATCTCAAGGAAGGTGACCTCACCTCCGGGAACCCCGGAGCCTCCACTCCTCTCCTCCACCCCTGGCCCAGTAGGTCATGGCCTTTTCAAGACCTGCTTTCTGTGGATCCATGAGGGGCTTGGCTACTGTTGTATGGTTTTTGGATGGGACAGTTTTCACCACGCGATGTGGCGAGAGCCTTTGGGCTTCAGGTGACTGAGCCTGGCTGTTATGGGGGCGTTCTCATCCCTACCCAGCACCTTACTCTCTCTATACTACCTGACTTCCGGGGAGAAGCTGTTGTGTCTTGTGCTTGTGTTGATCACCCGGGGGCATAGGAACAGAACCTGTATATCTTCAAACATTTCAACATAACTGTTTTCCAGTGTGTGCAGGAAATATTTCTATCCTCAAGAAAAGATATTTATACATGTATAAAAAGTACTTCTAGTGTCTGGGAGTAGTTGTACTTGCCTTTAATCCCAGGCAGAGTTAGAATCTAGCCTGGTCTACATAGAAAGTTACAGACCAGCCAGGGCCATGTAGCGAGGTCTCTTAAGAAAGAGATAGGGCCAGCCCAGGGAGGGGCACCACGCATGAACATCAAGGTATTCATCATTACACCGTTGGTAGTGAAGTCAGAAAGTCACATGTGTGAATCCAGGGGAAACTAGTATCTATGTATTTTTGTTCAGTTTTATATTTGTGTGTGCTGGGACTCAAGCCCAGAGCATGCTGGGTAGAGGGAAGTACTTTCAATCAATTGTAGCCCTTGCCTCTAGACTGTCTTTTTCACTTTTTTTTGGGGGGGGGGGGGGGTTCGAGACAGGGTTTCTCTGTGTAGCCCTGGCTGTCCTGGAACTCACTCTGTAGACCAGGCTGGCCTCGAACTCAGAAATCCACCTGCCTCTGCCTCCCAAGTGCTGGGATTAAAGGCGTGCGCCACCACCACCCGGCAAGACTCTTTTTAAATATGTGTATATATATATTTTTATTTTTAATGGAAACACAAGAAGCACAGACATTTACAGGGTTCGGGGTAGCATGAGCAGACTGTGTGGCTGTTGTGATCATCCTCTCAGCTGCCTGCTGTCTCTTAGAAGAACATATAAAATCGATTTGATTTTGAGGCAGTCGGTTATTATCACTGCCTTAAAACATCAGCGGCTCCACCGGGCACCCACCCTCATCCCTCTTCCTTCCTGGTCCTCCCAGCTCCCCCTACCCCGCCCTGCTCACCCATCCTAGCTCCGGGCTCCCCTCTCTGCTCTCCCGACTCACTCCTCCTCCCTCCCCACCTCCCTCACTCTACTTCTGAAGATCCTCAGGTAAGTTGCAGATTTTGTCTTTCTGTGCTTCTGTTCTCATCGGCCTTTTAAAATCACGCCGTATCCGCCGTTTCCCGTATCCTTGAGTGTTGCTCTCGGGCACCACTATATCATACACATGCAAAACAGGTTACCTGTGGAAGCTCTGGGCTGGGTAGTAAGTGTGTTGTATCATGTTGCCAGCCTGCCAGCCATTCCAGGAGTGTGCCAGCTTCTGGCTCCTGGAGCCTCCTGTTGGGAGTTGCTGGTCCGTGGTGTCCCATTTAGCTCACACTTGCCTCAGCCTCTCCTCTCTCCTCTCAGCATGTATACTCCCCAGCAGACTGCAGAGTCTTCCCTCACCACATCCTGTGTTTTACATAAGAGAGAGAGGAAAAAAAAAAACCCAATAGCATTGCTAGATATGTTTCTGTTTTCTAAACCGCAAAAACAGTGCACTCCATCAAAAAAAAAAATGGTTTAAAGAATAAAACTGTGTAAAGACAAAAGAATAAGTAGATCGAGGGCCTCTGTGCTCTGTCCCCGCATCTGGGGAGCTGACCATTGTGAGCTTTTGGGCGCAGCTGAGTTTGGAGACGCTGGTACATGCAGTATACAGAGGTTTGTTTTTGTTTTTTGGTTTTTTTGTTTGTTTGTTTGTTTGTTTGTTTTTTTGGTTTTTTGAGACAGGGTTTCTCTGTATAGCCCGGGCTGTCCTGGAACTCACTCTGTAGACCAGGCTGGGCTCGAACTCAGAAATCCGCCTGCCTCTGCCTCCCGAGTGCTGGGATTAAAGGCGTGCGCCACCACCGCCCGGCCGTTTGTTTGTTTTTTTGAGACAGGGTTTCTCTGTGTAGTCCTGGCTGTCCTGGAACTCACTCTGTAGACCAGGCTGGGCTCGAACTCAGAAATACACCTGCCTCTGCCTCCCAAGTGCTGGGGTTAAAGGCGTGCGCCACCACTGCCCAGCGAGAGGTTGGTTTTTAAATGCGGCTGGGATGCTGCTGCGTGCACTGTCTGTCTCAGAGGGTTACAGGTAAACTTCCGGTCAGGTCTTCCAGGCACAGCCTTGTTCCTTTTTTAGGGCTACATATTATTTCATAGCCGAGGAGCCGCATAACTTAACCACTTGCCTCTGAGCTCCAGGAGTGAGCTCCGTGGCTTCCAGTTTGCCATTCTTCCGAATGCTGCTTCTGGAACCATCTATCTATGTTCTAAATCTGTTTGTAGACGTCTGTAGCCAGTTCCAGAGTTACTGACAACAGCACACAGTGGGGCACCTGCTCCTGCCTATCTTGGTGACCTGAGTTCTATCCCCAGGGCCTACGTGGTGGAAAGGGGAAGACTGACTTCTGCAAGTCTGTCCTCTGACCCTCACATGCACGCTGTGACACTTGCCCTCCTCCCACAGAAAGATAAAAATAATAAGATGTAACAGAGAATGCAGGGCAGGAGAAATGCTACGAACAAACATTTCCTACTCCTGCAGAAGACTGATTCAATTCCAAGGACCCACGGTGGCTCCCAAACACCTGTGACTCTAGTCCCAGGGGTCCCCCTCACTCCAGAGGCACTGGGCATGCAGGGGTGCACATACATACATGCAGACAGTCACTTATACATATAAAATAAAAGGCCAAGCATCCAGTAGTCTCTGCTTATCCGTAGGAACACAACCTCCGGCCCACAGTGGATACCTGACAGTACTGTTGGTCAGAACCCTCTACACAGCATCCATGCATGCTGGTGGCAAAAGTTCAGTTTACAAGCTAGGCATGTAAGCGATTAACAACATTTAGTGGTAAAATAGAACCATAGTCATGTTCTATAATGGATGTTATTTAAGATATATGACTTACTTCTAGAACATCCCAAGCAATAGTTCCAGACTGGAGTTGATAGCAGGTGGGGTTGGGCTGTATGAGCAAAGTTTATATGCTCCCTTAGCTGTGACTGTGCTCCCTTAGCTGTGACTGTGCTCCCTTAGCTGTGACTGCTCCCTTAGCTGTGACTGTGCTCCCTTAGCTGTGACTGCTCCCTTAGCTGTGACTGTGCTCCCTTAGCTGTGACTGTGCTCCCTTAGCTGTGACTGTGCTCCCTTAGCTGTGACTGCTCCCTTGCTGAGATCGTGCTCCCTGAACTGAGACCGTGCTCCCTTAGCTGTGGGTGTGGTCCCTTAGCTGTGTCTATAAGAATATTCCCTCAACTAATTGGTTGGGTTTCTTGCTCCAGGAGTGTTGTCAGGGCTAGAGCTGTGGGTGGAACAAAAGGTGTCTCTACAGAAGCTCCATTCTGTCAGGGAGAGCCACTTGAACCCGCTACCCTGTTTCTAACTTATTCTAAAATAGAATCCGACCAGGCTGGTCAAGATACCTTGAGATGGCCTCCCACCCTCTCAGGGGATTCTCTCATGAACTCCAGCACAAGCCACCCCAATGAGTGTTCACAGAATGTCTGAGGTCCTGGGCTGTTGGGAGGAACCATCCCACCCTTCACACTGGGCCCCTTCTTATGAAGAGGAAGAAATAACAGCTCCCCTAAAAGTTCACTTGGTGCCTGCTTCCGGTGTGGCCCTGGGGCCAGTTGTCATTGTGGAAGTTGGTGGTTTCCCAATTCCCCTTCCCTCTTGAAGAAGGCAAAGCAAAGCCAGGGGGGTGGGGTGGGAGTGGGATAGCCAACTTCTGGAAGCTTCACTCCAAGGTCTCAGCCAGTGTTTTCCCAGGAGACAAGAGTAGCGTCCTGCCTGTGGTGTTTGTGGGGAAACGGGCTCACAGGTATCTAGGCTGACTCAGCCAGAAGGAAGGAAAGCCCAATCCCCATTCTTACCAGGAACCCTTGAGGGGCCACTCTCCAAGCAGGCTGGGGGGGGCCCCTGTGTCCGAACCACACCCTTAGCAGCCCTGGTCCTGTCCCCTCACATGCACACCACACACACACACACACACACACACACACACACACACACACACCTGTGACCAGTCTCCATGGACCTGTGACCAGTCTTTACTCTCGGGCCTAGAGAGCTGCTTCATGGCCACACTCGGAAGAGGCTTTTTCACCTCAGTGTCTGCGTCTCTCTCTCTCTCTCTCTCTCTCCCTCTCTCTCTCTCTCTCTCTCTCTCTCTCTCTCTCTCTCTCTCTCTCTCAGATTTATTTAACTGCTGAGCCATCTCTCCAGCCCACACCTCAGTCTCTCAAGGCCTCAGGTTCTCAGGGTGAGCCTGTCCTTGGGAGTATCACGGTGCTCCTGTCTGGAGTCTTCTGTGTGGAGACTCATGATGACCTCAGCTGGGAGTGCAGCTATTTTGTAAATGTGAATTTGATCCTCAGGACAGCCCCTAAATGAGCTCTAAAGGACCAAGATGGGCATCCCTGTGCCACAGAGGGGAAGCCATCACTGGGTGTCACCATGCTTGTGGTTCTCCAGCTAGCTTATTCCACCCTGACCCCCAACCATCCTCTGTGTCGTTTCCTGTGCCTGGACAGATAGCTCCATGCCGTGACCCTCGATCGCTTGAAGAGCCCCCTAGACTCTTAGGGACCTCGATCCAAGACAAACTGGGGGTTGTGTGGATTTAGTGATGAAAAGTATGTCAGGAAAAAAAAAAAAGCCGGGCAGTGGTGGCGCATGCCTTTAATCCCAGCACTTGGGAGGCAGAGGCAGGTGGATTTCTGAGTTTGAGAGTTCGAGGCCAGCCTGGTCTACAGAGCAGGGCTACACAGAGAAACCCTGTCTCGGAAAAAAAAAAAAAAGGAAAGTATGTCAGGACTAGTCCACTTCTACTGTGGAGTTTATGATTTTATAAAGATGGCTTGGAGTGGAATCAGCACAGGAGGCGAGAGAGAGGAGATGCACAGGAGAGGAAGTCGGGACTTAGGGATGGCTCCGTGGGTAAAGGCACTTGCTGCCAAGCCTGGTGATCCGAGCTCCATTCCCGGAATTCACATGGTGGAAAAGGAGAACTGAGTCTCACAAGTTGTCCTCTGACCTCTCCATATGTGAACCCTAGCACGGGCACCGTCCATGTCTTAGCTTGGTAGTGAGCAATCTTGAAAGGGGGTGAACACCGCGTCGAGTGGTGAAAACAGAACAGGAAGCAATCAGCTGTGACCCTCCAGAACCTCATGCTTAGCTCAGCCGTGAGGTTCTGTGCTCAAGGACTGCTTGAAGACCCACACTTTCTTCAAGAGGGAAGGGGAGATGGGTCATGTGCACAGAAAGGGGTCTGTGGTGCACATGAATAATTTTAAAATGCTGTACAGACTTCCCTGCAGACAGTCTGCATGGAGGCGTGCTTTTTCAGTTGAGGACCCGCTTTCCAAGATGACTCTAGCTTGTGTCAAGTTGACAGGAGGACATGCCCCGGATGGGACTAGAACCTGATAAGGTGAAACCAGGAGCCACCAAAAAGGAGAGAAAGAGACAAAGCTAAGTGATTACAGATAATGCCTTTAAGAATGTTGATTTTTTTAAATGACAGTTCTGTAATTCTGGTTGCAAGGGTGTGGGTATTTGAACAGCACACTGATGAGTATTGAAACTATTTGTACTTAATGGTATTTCATAGATTCATAACTGGATTAATAGGGTTACTAGATCAAGTGAGCCTGGCCTTTTTTTTTTTTTTTTTTTAAAGACAGGGTCTCAAAAAAAAACCAAAAAACAAAAAAAACCACAACCCCAAAGCACACTTGCTTCATCCCTGAGTCCGGCAAGTGCATTCCGAGTCCACACCTAGGACTTTACCCCAAGGGTGTGGGTGGAGAAGAGTCCCTCAGTGGTGATTTTTATCTGTGGTTTTTGTCTTGCAGCTGATTTTGGCGTGTCTGCCAAGAATCTGAAAACTCTGCAAAAGCGAGATTCCTTCATAGGAACGCCTTACTGGTGAGTTGTGGGGCCTCTGGGGAACTGATTAGCAGGCTACATAGCAAGCCTAGCACCCCATTACCTCTGGGTGGGTTGTGGGTCGGGGCACACGTCGCCAGTTCAGAGCCCCTGAGCCAGCCGCTCAGCGTGTGTGCGTCCAGTGTCTGCTTCTCCTTCGGGTACTCCTGTGCCGAGCACTAGTGGCTTCTCTTCCCCACATCTCATCCGTCATCCATAAACCAGGGTTACAGTGGAAAGCACCCCACTAATAAACTAAACGGAGTCCCTGAAAAGGTGCTTCAGCTCTTGGTTCTTTTAACACATGTCCTGAGTTTGGGGTGCTGTCTATGGGCGGGGCTACGTGAGAACACTGTAAATTCACTTCCTGTCCTCATGAGACGCCTCCCGGGGCCTCTCTCGCCTGTTGTGTCTCATCCGTTTTCAAAAACGATAACTTAAAATAAAAACACCTATGTGAAGAAAGCTCTCTGGTAGAGGAAGACGCCTGAAGTCCTGCTCTGGCCTGCAGACGTGTGGAGATGAGCCCCCACCTTCCCACACGTGCAGTGCAGGCATCCGGCCGACACCCCAAGCCCAATCTCTCACTCGGTTTCACACCTGATTACTTTGTGTTCTGTTTTTACAACTGGCCATGGTGTTCAGCCCCTTCCTCGCTTGCTTACTACTCTTAACTCTTTCTCTCCCACCCCTCCCGTTATTCCTTTCTCTTCTCTCCCATCCCCCCTTTCTCTCTGTGCTGTCCTGTTCTGTCTACCCCACTGTCCCACCTTGTTTGTCTTTTGCTGGAACCTTCCCCCTCTGCCCTCAACCCACCTGCCCCTTCCCCAGGACTCTGTTCTGGATGGCTGCTGCCACCTTGTGGCAGGCTCCAGGAACTGCAGCGGGCCGAGACCTTTGAGGAAGACAATGGGATGCCAGTAATTCAAACCATGGCTTCAAATACTGCCAACCTCCAGTGTGGTGCTGGTGGTGTTCGAGACCCTGAGGCTACGAGCAGCACCCGCAGGGGCCCAATTCTTAGCCCTTATTGTTGCTTGGTTGGCTCAGGATGGCCCCTGAGGTGGTGCTGTGCGAAACCATGAAGGACGCCCCCTATGACTACAAGGCTGACATCTGGTCCTTGGGCATCACGTTGATTGAGATGGCGCAGATCGAGCCCCCACACCACGAGCTCAACCCCATGCGGGTCCTGCTCAAGATCGCCAAGTCGGACCCTCCCACCCTGCTCACACCCTCCAAGTGGTAAGGAGAGCCGCGTAATTATGGAGGGTCTGAAGCCACTCCAAAGCCAGGGCAATGTCGGAGGTGGGGTGGCGGTGGGGCACCTCCAGGCCTTTCAGAACTGCCCGCCTGAACTATAGAAAACCTCAGATGTGAGAGCAAGGTGGGTTAGCCAGGACGGGGTCCCTTTATGTCCCGGGATAATGTCCTGGAACAGAGCCCAAGCAGCCACATGGCCCAGGGCTGGCCATGGGGACTTGGGTTCAGATTCTGACACCACCAGGATCATTTCTTGGCCAGTCTACATTCCTCTTAGACGTCTGTGTCCTGGACAGTGATGTGCATGATAAGAAGGCTGTCCTGTGGACCCTGTCTCCGAACACCCAGCCCTGAGTACATGGTGCCCGGGCTATGACTTACTCCTTACTCACTCGTGCCTGTCCTCCAGGTCTGTGGAGTTCCGAGACTTTCTGAAGATAGCCTTGGATAAGAACCCAGAAACCCGGCCCAGCGCCGCACAGCTGCTGCAGGTGAGCAGGGATTCATTGCATTGTTCTTCAAAGGCACCGGTGAGGTCCAGTGCTTAGCTCAGCCGTGAGGTACTGTGTGTCCAGTATACTATCAGATGTGGTGGCCCACACCTTTAATCCCAGAACTTGGGAGGCAAAGGCAGGCGGATTTCTGAGTTCAAGGCCAGCCTGGTCTACAGAGTGAGTTCCAGGACAGCCAGGGCTACACAGAGAAACCCTGTCTCGAAAAACAAAAAAACAAAACAAAACAAAAAACCAGATGTGGTGGCTCACACCTCTAAGTCCAACACCTGTGAGGCAGAGGCAGGAGGATCACTGCAAGTTTAAGACCTGGTCTACATAGCAAGTTCCAGGCCAGCCAGAGCTACATAGAGAGACCCTTTCTCAAAAAAGAAAAGAACAAAACAGAAGTGGACCTATCGACTGGGAGATTCTGACTTTCCTTTCATACTTCTGGTTCAAAATCAAATGTGTGGCCTTCTTCAAGGCCCACTTCTGGCATGGTGTGTTTGTTTGGGATATGGGACTGTTGTCACTGTCAGGTGCAAAGGCCTCAAGCCACTTGGGACCAGTTGCTTCCTGTAAATGGCACTTCCCGTGCCAGGGCATCCGGCCTGCCTGACATTGTCAGGGCAGAGACCAGCTGTCGCCCGGAGCCTTGGCAGGAGCTGGGAATTCCACTTCCTAGCTGAAGCACCGTCTGCCAGGGGATTCTCAGTGTGCAGCGGAAGAGCACAGGGCAGAGGGAAGGAGCCCTGTCTCAGTTTACCCAGGTGCCCCCAGACTGGCTAGGGCTTCTCTGGTACCTGTTATTAAAGTGTAGGGTGGGAGGAATACAGGGGTCTGACAGACCTGGGGACAGTGGGCTCAGAGGAGAAGTCCCTGCCCGAGGTTACCTGGTTGGAATGGCGTCACTGGAGCAGGTCTTGGCTGTGGGCACCTCGGCCCTGTATCTGTTACTCCTGGGGTGCTGTCACTCCCTGTCCTTTTGTATCCCGTGTGGCTAAGCCACCCAAGCTCGCCGGAACTGATGGCTCAGTCATTCGTCCGCACAAATCCCTGGCCGGTGTCCTGCAGCAGTTGATTACCTGGATCTGAAATGAGGAGTGTGAGGAGTTCCCTGTGTGCCTCTGTTTCTCCCTCCGTCGGACGGAGGGATGGAGAGCCAGGAGGAGTCTGTGCGCGATGCTTCGCACGTGCAAATGCTCTCACATTGTCCTATGGCTCTGCAGCAGTTTTCATGGATTGGAGGTAGCAGTGAGCTCAGGCTTGTCACTTGTCACAACCTGGCTGGCACCTTCTTTCCTGCCCACTGCTCACGCCCTCACTGCCTCATTCCACCCAGCACAGTTGATGACCGGAATGAGCTCCGAGCTCTCTGCTCCCTCTGTCTGCTGGACTGATCAAAGCCAGCCTGTGCCCCTCTCCCCTGGCTTCGAGCCTCAAGCTCAGTCCACCCCTGACCTTTGTCGCTGCGTCTCTCTGGATGCTCAGAGCCACTTGAGCCTCACCCCTCCACACAGAGCCCTCAGCCCCCTCCTCAGGTGCATTCTGCGATGGCTGCCCATCTCGTCCCTGGCAGCCTGGCGCGCTCTCTCATTCTCCGCCCCTCTCTCATCATATCAGGAGCAGGATCTCTCTGCCTTCAGAACAGGCCCAGAATGCACCACCTCCATGAGGTCACTCCCATTCCAAGTCTGTTCTAGAAGGAACTTTGTAAACAGGGTTCCTTCCAGTCCTTCCCCCTAAACAGAGCCCTCGTTAGCATGGCTAGTACCTGCCCTGCTTACTGCAGAGACGACATACCCAGTAAAGGCATCATAGAGGAAGGATTTATTTTAGCTCATTATTGTGGAGGGTCTCAGTCCATCATGGTGGGCAAGACCTGGCAGCTGGAGGTGCGCTGGTCTAGGCTTGCAGTGTTATCATCGGGAAACTCTGGGACCCTTAGGGGCACTGCGTGGCAGAGGGTCTCTTTAAAGATCACACCTACCCATTTATGGTGGCACTCTCTGACTCCTACTGCCATGCAAACAGCTCCCTCTGTGCTACCATGGCTAAGACCAGAGACGCCTCTAGCACAAAGTCACAGAGCTGTCAGTGATAGCTCCTGTCCTCATTCTAGTGACTTGGCTCTGAAGTCTGTGCTCTTGGCCACTCTGAGACGCTGCTTCTAATGAGTAGAGGAAAGAAAAAAGGTCCAAAGCAGGGGTGGAGAGATGGCTCAGCAGGTAAGAGCGCTGGCCACTCATCCAGAGGACCTGGGTTCAATTCCCAGCACTCACATGGTGGCTCACAAGTGTCAGTAACTCCAGTCCCATAGGATCCAGCGCCCTCTTCTGGTCTCTAGAGGCACTGCATGTGCATGGTGCACAGACAGGCATGCTGGCAAAATACCCGAACATGGAATAAAAATAAAGCATTTCTAATAATAATAGTAATAATAATAACAACAATAATAATGAAATGAAGAAAGACAGAAACAAAGAGAAAGGGGGCAGGCGGCAGGTGAGGGGAGCATACTTTGATCTGAGCGTTGTCCCCTAATGGCTTCTTAGTGCATAGAGAGAAAATAAGCTCACTTGGAAAGGACATCTGTTTCAGTGACAGCAGAGATCCTGGCCAAAGACAGGTGACAGTTGGCAAACTGTATGCTGCCTCCTCCGCGCTGGCAGCTTGGAACCTTCAGCAGAGCTGGCTCTGAGCAGCCATTCCTCTTTCTGGGTAGACAGTGAGGCCAGCTCTGATCTGCCCTTCTGCAGGGTCATGAATGCCTGGAACAGCCTGCCTGGTGCAGCATATGGAGTGTTTGTCCAGGTTTGGCTATTCTGGGAGGTTCCTGGGTCCAGCTGTCTGAGGGTCAGGAAGCTTTGAGTCAGGAAGAAAGGCTTCTCTACAGCCCCACCTAGAGGTGGTGGGCCGATGCAGCAGTGTCTCTGCCTGTTCTTGTCTTTCAAAGCTTAAACACAAATCAAGGCCCAGTCAGCCTTGGCAGGGCTGCCCACACACCAGCCACCTGCCCTGGGCCCCTTGCAGGGAGCTGCCCTGCTTAACTGGGCCTCCGTGAAACGCTGCCCTCCCTCCCCTCCTCCCAGGGACCTTGAGCTCCATGTAGGCAGAGCAGATGGCTCTCCTCAATGGCTACTAATTTGGTCAATATGTAGGGTGCCCTGGTGAGAAAGCCTTGTACTCTGAGAAGCCTGGGCTGGGCCTGCACTGCCGGTTTCTGTCATGTCTGCCTTAGCTGCTGCAGCGCAGTGTCCTGTAGTGTCCTGCGCGGGGCACTGTGTTATGGATTTCAGATGCTCTGGGGATCTTGGCTCTTCTCATCATTCCCAGAGAGCTATGCTCTCTGGTAGAGGAATGACAGGGAATGTGACAAGGTGCCCAGATTGTTCTCCTACTCCTGCTGGCTGGTGATGGTGGCTGTGGTGATCGTGAGTGACTGCGGTCAGGACAGTAATGGTGGTACCATCTAGCGGGCGATGGTAGTGATTATGATGATGGGGCTGTGGTGGTTACAGTAATAATGGTGACTGTGGTGGTGTTGGTGGTGACGATGCTGTTTTGAACACTCACTATATTGCACATAGAACAGCCAAACTGTTATCCCTACTCCACGGATAAGCAAACTAAAGCACAGAGAGGCTCTCTTGACTTGCCCAGGTTGGCACTGAGAGCTGGATTTTATCCCAGGTGGCTTGGCTCCTGTCTCCTAGTCAGCACACTTAACTCTGCACATCCTGGTGATCCGTTGGTGAGTTTTGTGAAAAGCCCACTCGGGACCACTGGAAACATGCAGAAGCTAGAGTAACGTGCTCCTGGGTAGCAGAGCTGACAGTTACCAGGGAATGAATGGCTCTCCATTGCCCGAGGCTGTGCACGCCGCCCAGGCTCCCTCCCTCCCTGCTCCCTTTGCCTGTCTGCGTACCCGTCACAGGCCCCAGCCTCCAGGCCCAAGCCTAACTCAGGGTCTTTAGAGGCTGTACCTTTGCCCAACACTCTGGACCTGGAGTTTCCCTAACTTTACCCACATGTCTCCTGGGTCCCAGCTTGAATGTGACACCTCCCCTCAGGAAGGCTCCACTGCCCGGCTCTCCAACATTTTTGTTGACACCATTCATCCACAAATAAGATTTCTGATAACAGCAGTGGGGTCAGCAGAGCCTTCTTCCCATGAACCTCAGATGAGCAAATTCCAACCCAGTGATGCCCCTAAACTTCCAGTATTCCTTTCCCTCTGCCCCTCAAAACAAAGGGGACTGAGGAATCCCACTATGGCCACTCCCTTTGCCAGGGAGGTGATATCTGCACACTTGCTCTCCATGGTACTTTTCTGGGATGCTTTAGGCTGACCAAACATCCCCAGACCTTTTGCTTTGGGGTTTTATACGGTCTATAAGAAAGCATGCCCTTGGAGTTCAGTCACTGCCAGGACTACATTGTTGCCATTCTAAAAACCCAATAGATATTTCTGCCCAAAGACAACAGATGCAAGACTGTCCCTAGCTGCTTGCTTCATGGTCACCCAGAGCAGGAAACACCCCCATGTGCCCAGCAGCAGCAGGATGGTTAAACAGACAGTGACATGGTCCTTCAGGGAGACTGTGCAGTGGAATCAGAAAGGAGTAGGGGTGGAGAGCAGTGGTAGAGCCCAGCGCTGAGCATCTTGTCCCCAGCACCAAGAAGCATATAACCTTGCAGGGACCCTGCTGAGCCACGGGGACCTCTGCCCAGTGCAGGGGATGGAACTTCACATCTGCTTGCCACAGAAAAGAATTCTGGAGACTGGGGGTTAGGAGCTGTAGCCCAGCATGCCCCCTTTGAGTTCAACCCCTGGCATTGCATAAACTTGGTACATACCTGTGATCCTAGCACCAGAGAGGTGGAGACTCAGAGTATGAGACCAGCCTGGGCTACATAAAAACCTATCTCAAAAGAAAAAAAATTAAGACAAGTCATAGTGAGACGAAGTTCCCGAGCTTATCTATTAAGCAGGAAGATGTCTAGACAGAGTTATGGGACTATGAGAGGCACATACCTGAGACCCCAACGGTAGCCGCACATACGATTTGAAGCAAGTCAAATTAGCAATTAGTTCAGGGCCAGGGTGTGCTGCCATGCTCCTTATCCATAGACATCTGTCCTTAAAGAGACTCTGTAGGTACATGGTATAGCTGGGCGTAGGAGGGTATCTTAGTTACTCTTCTATTGTAGTGGTAAGACACCATGACCAAAGCAACTTGTGTAAGAATGGGTTTCTTGGGGACTTACAGTTTCAGAGGGTTACAGTTTATAACCATCAATCAGGGGAGCATGGCAGCAGGCTGAGTTCAGTTTTCAACACCCACATGGTGGCTCAACCATCTATAACTGTAGTTTCATAGGATCTGATGCCGCCTTCTGGTGGGCAAACGTACATACAGACAAACGTACATACAGACAAAACACCCATATACATAAAGTACGTAAATAAATAATTATTTTTTTGAAAAAAAGAAACATAACTTCAAAGCGTCAGTGACACACCTCCTCCAGTGAGGCCGCACCCCCTAATCCTTCCCAAACAGTTCCACCAACAGGGGACCAAGTGTTCAAACATGAGCCTATGGGGGCCATTCTCACTCGGAGCGCCCCTTCCTGCTCCCTGGCCTCCATGAGCTCATGGTTATATCAGGACAAACCACATTTAGTCTGTATATTAGTCAGGGTTCTCTAAAGCAACAGAACTGGATGGAACAAAGCAACTGAACTAGGGGAGGGCTAGCCTGGGTTAAAAAGAAAGTAAACAAACACACAGATGACATCATCCCAAGAAAGACCATGGGCTGGACCCTGACTTTACAAGGCACTTTCACGGGAATTGTCTCATTTCATCTTCATGACTTTCCGTGACTTCAGCATGACTGTCTGTCTATCTGTCCTTTGGAGATGGCTCAGAGAGGAGGAGTGTCATACTCAGGGTCACACAGCTCGAGTTGCAGAGTTAGGTGTCTCCTTCTACATGCTGGCCTTCCTGGCCTGCTGCAGGGCTTGTGAGTTCCCCTTCCGGCTTCAAGTTCACGTGTTGCCTTGGGACCAGAGTTGGTCCTCATGGCTCCAGGATCTAACCCTGCAGCCATACCTGCCCCGAGACTGGCTCCAGGATCTAACCCTGCAGCCATACCTGCCCCGAGACTGGCTCCAGATGGCTCTAACACAGGTGTGTCTTTTCCTCAGCATCCCTTTGTCAGCAAAGTCAACAGTAATAAGGCTCTTCGGGAGCTGGTGGCCGAGGCAAAGGCAGAAGTGATGGAGGAGATCGAGGATGGCAGGGAGGATGCCAGAGAGGATGCCAGAGAGGATGGCAGGGAGGATGGAGAAGAGGAGGACGCTGTGGATGCTGTTCCGGTAAGTCTGAGGAACATGGAGGTGAGGAGGGTGGGCCCCAGCTGCCCCTGGGAGAGAGGCTAGGGAAGGATTTCTTTCTGCCTCTTGGGGCCAACTGTCTGGGATCCCCAAACACCCCAGGGTGCCCAGGGTGAGGCTGAGCAAATGTTGGCCAGATCCAGATTCTCGAGCATGCAAGACCTGGCTAGGGTCCCTGATCTCACAGTTCAGTCCAGGGGCTTCTCCTGGGGGGATTGCTCTCCCTACAGAGTCCCCAGTAAATCAGGGCTGAGTTGTCACAGAGCTGAAACACCACCACCACCACCAGGACCTTCACATTTTTTGGCGTTTGAGACAGAATCTTACTGTATAACGTTGGCTGGCCTGGAACTCACGATGTAGACCAGGCTGACCTTGAACTCAGAGACCTGCCTGCCTCTGCCTCCTGAGCACTGACATTAAGGGTAGGTGTGTACCCTACTACTGTGCCTGGCTCATTACATTTTTAGCTTAAAATTTTTTAATTAGAATTAGGTTTCATTGTAAACATTTAAAGTAAAAATCTGTTTTTGGTTCTCACTCAGATGGAAGAGGTCCCTGGCCCCCGCCGCACACCCCTGTAGTGGCCTTTCCACATTCATGCCACAAATAGACATTTATTTTTGATCTGTAGAGATCAGTATTTGGTTTCACATAGCAACGTTTCCAGTACTCTCCACCCCAGAAAAAGGAAAATTACACGGGGCGGGCGGGCTGAAAACAGTCCCTAGGTAGGTTTGGTTGGCACTTTATGTAGGTTTTTGATGTGACCTAGTTGCCATGTGGCGATCAACAGATCTCATGTGAAAATTCAGGTTACTGAAATGGCCGTGTGGCTTAGTTGGTAGAATGCTGACCCAACATGTCCGAAACCCTGGCGTCCATGTCAGCATCTCATAAAACTGGCGTGGCGGTACACACCTGTGATCCCAGCACCCGGGAGATGGAGACAGGAGGATCATTCATGGTCACTCTCGGCTACACAGCAGGTCTGAAGCCAACCTGAACTACCTGAGACCCTGTCTCAAAAAAAAGAAACAAGAGAAAATCAGATTGCCAGTATGTGTTGAAATTGGTATCCCCCTGCCCGCTGCCCTCCCCTGCACTGTGGCTATCGGCTGGCCACAGTGTTTTCCTCACAGGACGGGAGCAGCTGTTAGGTGAGATTGCAAGTGGAGAGAGGAGCGGAGTCTTCACCCTGGTGGTAGCCTGTTTAGGAAAGGCTGTGGAGAGAGGTGGAGACTCGGCTCAGCGGTCCCTGCTCTGCTGGCCTGTCACCTGTCACCTGTGGGCCAAACCACCACTGTGGAGCCGCACCAACTCAGCCTTGACTCTTTTCTAGCCCCCAGTCAACCACACTCAGGACTCCGCCAGTGTAACTCAGCCAAGCCTCAACTCCGACAAGCCTCTCCAGGATTCTTCCACCCGCCTGTCTCCCGGCCAGCCTCCAGAGCCTGTGAACAATGGGCCCTGTAGCCAACCCTCAGGGGATGGATCCCTCCAAACCAGCAGCCCTGCTGAAGGGGTCTTGAAGAATGACAATGACTTAAAGGTACCTGTTCCCCTCCGGAAGTCCCGGCCATTATCCATGGATGCCAGAATTCAGGTGGATGAAGAGAAGCAAATCACTGACCATGCTGAGAACCCCAGTCCTGCAGCCAGCAAGTCCCAAAAAGCCAACCAGAGCCGACCTAACAGCAGCGCCCTGGAGACTTTGGGTGGTGAGACTCTGGCCAATGGTGGCCTGGAGCTCCCCAGCTCCTTAACTCCAAGCCATTCTAAGAGGGCCTCGGACTGTAGCAACCTGTCTACCTCAGAGAGTATGGACTACGGCACCTCCCTGTCTGCTGACCTGTCACTGAACAAAGAAACAGGCTCATTGTCTCTCAAGGTAACGTCACCTGTCACCCTGGGGGCCAGGGCAGGCACGTGGGCCAGTGTGCCATGCTCTGGTTCCATTCTCCAAAGCAGGCAGAAGCTATTTACATTGTATTTGATTTGTGTATTTGTAAGAGGCACCAGGGGTGATCCCAGATCTTGGTGCATGCTCAGCAACACACACACACACACACACACACACACACACACACACACACACATACAGCTTCCTATTTTAAATGGTTCATGAGTTTGTCTCTTTAAGATTTTAGCTCACTGCATAGCTTAAACCCCCACATGGAGTCAGTATAAGATAGTAATGTTATACAGTTAGTTTGGGTTCAAATCTCAAAGTTTAGTTACAGGGTCCAGTGAAACTGGGGAAAGAACATTCCCAAAGTGGAGGTTCCCTGGCTGGGGGCAGCTCTGACGAGTGCTGATAGGTAGATTCAGTGAGAGTGCCATCACTCTCCTCTCTGGCCTCCTGACTGGCAGTGGGTGACAGTAGGTGCTGTAACCACCCTGTGCAAGGTGCTTTAAACAGAACCGGAAGGCTGCTTCCTCCCTCAGTTTCCAGATGGGCAGCTGGCGCTAGGCTGTGTGGGTGGAGGCAGGGAGGTGCTCAGACCTCAGCTGGGCTCCTGGCCTTGTGTGCCTTTAGCCCTCTCCTCATCCACAGTGAGGAGGAGCCACTCCCTTCCTTGTCTGCCTCCAGCAGTTCTGCTAAACTTACTGTGGGCTGCCTGAACCCCCAAACAAGGCTGGTGCAGGAGGTGTGGGGGAGAGAGTGCTGCTGTGCTGACTTCTCTCGTACCCTCCTTGCTCAATATAAAACACACGGTAGACATTCACGCATCTGTCAAGTGTGAGGCCGTGATGGTGGGAGCAGCCGACAGCCCCGCAGAAGCAGCTGGAGCAGAGAAGCTCGCTCAAGTGGGAGCATCTGCGGAAGCTTTTTGTTTTATTTCTTCAGAACTGACATAGATAGGCGAGTTGTTTTAAATACACTCTGGACAGTGGAGAAAGCTGAGCTTCAGGCAAAACAAAGATCTTTCCCTGGGTCACAAAAGCAACAGTGGCCAGTGAGGGTGAACACACAGCTCTTTCTTTTATGTCAAGTCCGTGTTTTGTAAGAAGGCCTTCCTGAGGTAAGAGCCTTGAGAGGTGTCTGAGGCCTCATCCCAGCAGAAGGAAAGTGGCCTAAGGCCAGACACTTAGGCCTTGTTTGGCAAGCTTGAGGAAGGGGGACAGTGGATGGCCACATCCTTCGGGGCCCAGGCTGTGGGCCTCACCCTAGCTGAACTTGGGCACCTTCTCGCCAGGGCTCAAAACTGCACAACAAGACCCTGAAGCGGACCCGCCGGTTTGTGGTGGACGGCGTGGAGGTGAGCATCACCACCTCCAAGATCATCAGCGAGGATGAGAAGAAAGACGAGGAGATGAGATTTCTCAGGTGAGTCCAGGGAGGCAGCGGTGTGAGAACATGCGGGTGCCCTGGGAGTGCCAGGCATTGGCCTTGTGGGTGGGACTGCAGTCTGTCCATGGCGTGAAGTGGGGGAGGGGGCTAAGGCAAAAGGAGAGTGTTTTTGAGACCCTTTCTCCTGCATTCATGTACTCTGTCTGTCTGTCACCCATCTCTTCTGTCCATCTTCTCACTCGCCCACATGCCCTGTGACCCATCCTCCCAACCTCTATCTACACTGCCGTGTCTCTCTGCCTAGCAACCTAATCCCTATCCCTGCACCTACTCAGCCATTGGCCCACTCATCTCCAGCTGTCTGACTACCCACCCATCTACAGACCACCTGACCGTTCATCTATTTCTTTCTTTCACTTATTTGTCCATCCATTCTTCCATCAACCCATCCATCCATCCATCCATCCATCCATCCAACCATCCATCCATTTATCTGCCCACCCACCTGTCCACCCAGTTATCCATCTGTCCATCCACCTACCCTTGTCTGTACTAATGTCTAATATAGTGATGTATTAATGTACCCACGTCCACACCCATCCAGCTGTCTAACCGTCCATTTAATCCATCCATCCATCCACCTCTTCAGTTGTCACTTATCCATACGTCCACCCGAATTATCCACTTGTGTGCCATCTTCCAGGTGAGACAGATTGAAATCCAGATGCGTGAAGCTATGTCCCATGTCACATTTATACCTATGGGTCGTTTGTTTGTTTGTTTTGGTTTTGTTTGTTTTGTTGTTTGTTTGTTTGTTTGTTTTTTTGAGACAGGGTTTCTCTGTGTAGCACTGGCTGTCCTGGAACTCACTCTGTAGACCAGGCTGGCCTCGAACTCAGAAATCTGCCTGCTTCTGCCTCCCAAGTGCTGGGATTAAAGGCGTGCGCCACCACTGCCCAGCATACCTATGGGTCTTAAACATATACTACACAGGCTAGTTCTTGGTTGTGCTGCACACTGTGAAGGATGCACAGGGTGATACAGCAGTAAGTGCCTGAGCCGGGCAAAGATTGTTCTCAGGGACCTCACCATCCCCGCCCTGAGCTGAGCCTGTGGGATGAGCTGGGGCATGCTGAGGGAACCTACCTTAGAGAACAGAACCTCAGCGTGGAATGCCAGGCCAGAAGGAGGGTGGGACTGTGGTCTGTGTCGGGGCAGGACCTGGGCTTTGTATGCTGCGAGGGAAGGATGGAGGATTCCACGAATGGCAGAAGTGGCACATAGTGTGGGCCCTGATGTCCCATCTGGACGGTTTCTCTGGCCACTGGTCTTAGCTGTAGAAGGGTAAAACTGACTTGGGATGTGGGGGGGCTGTCCAACACCGTCAGCCTCGGGCTTGGGCTCGGCCTGGGCTGGGGCAGTGGCCAGGAGGGAGCAGGGATTGGATTCAGTGTACATCTCAGAGGCAGACCCATGAGAAGTGGCAGAGAAGTTAACAGCACGATCCAGTTGTTACTAACAGCCCTCCCCGGGGGACCCTGTTCCTCTCGTGCATCTGGGGAAACCGTGTCTCTTGGCAGATAAGCTGCAAGCACTGGGTCTCTAGTTGAGAAGCGAGATTCCACCTAAGTTTTCAGTGTGCATCGGTTGCAGACACAAGGATGCTCGGGTTCCCTGAGACCAGGGCTTTGCGGACGTCATCATTGCTTTGGAGGAAGCACCCAGCGTTCCAGAATAGAAACAGTTTAGGATGTTCTAGGGATTTCCTCCGTCTTGGCCAGTGGAATGAAATTTAATTAAAAACAACACTGTTAGCCAGAACTACACAGAGAAACCCTGTCTCGAAAAACCAAAAACAAAACAAAACAAAACAAAACAAAAAAACAAAACAAAAAACCACTGTTAAAAACATCCTTTAAAAAAAAAATCACATCGGGCAGTGGTGGCGCACGCCTTTAATCCCAGCACTTGGGAGGCAGAGGCAGGTGGATTTCTGAGTTCGAGGCCAGCCTGGTCTACAGAGTGAGTTCCAGGACAGCCAGGGCTACACAGAGAAACCCTGTCTCGAAAAACCAAAAAAAAAAAAAAACACATCAAAAAAAAAAGTTTAAAAAAAAAACCTTATTCAATCCAGAAGCGAAACTGAGGTGCCAAAAGGCTTTGAGGTATCGCCAGTGTCTTCCAAAATGTTCTTCTAATTTATATCAGTATCACATGGAGTATGAATTTTTCTATATGCTTGTCTGTTTATAGTTGCCTTTTATATTTGCATCTCATAGTAAAGTTTCTTCTTGTTTTTGAACTTGTTTACTTTTGTGTGTCTTCATATTGTGTACCACTTCTGAGAGTGGTGGTTAGTTCCTTCCTCCTTACTGATTTGTAAGTGTTCTTTATGTATGGAGGACCCTCGCCTTTTTGTCAGTGATTATCAAATGAAGCCTGAGTCCTGATCCTGAGTCAGTGGGATTCTACCCCACAATCCGTCCTTCTACAGTCCAGTCTGTGAATGCTGTGGTCCTAGGGGCCCCCTTCTCACTGGGAAACGTTCTGTCTGTGAATCCACAGGCGCCAGGAACTCCGAGAGCTCCGGCTTCTGCAGAAAGAAGAGCATCGGAACCAGACACAGCTGAGCAGCAAGCACGAGCTGCAGCTGGAGCAAATGCACAAACGTTTTGAACAAGAAATCAACGTGAGTGAGAGCAGAAGGGCCCAGGGGCTTCTGATGTTTTCTTCAGGTGGGGAGGGGGGTTGTAGAAAGGTGGTTAGGTCACAGTGACCCTGAGTCACACAGGTACACTTCTAGAGGAAATCTCCTCTGTGGAATGCCACGGTCCTGCCAGGTCAGATGAGGAAACAGACTCAGAGAGGTTAAGTAACTTGCCCTAGGACACATAGCAAAGGGTGGCTGGGCTGGGACTCAAGTCTGGGTCTAGTGCAGACTCAGAGGTATAAAGTGGCTTCTGGATACCTCTGAGTCTGTCTGTGTACCTCCCAGGCCAAGAAGAAATTCTATGACGTGGAGCTAGAAAACCTAGAGCGGCAGCAGAAGCAGCAGGTGGAGAAGATGGAGCAGGACCACAGCCTGCGCCGCAGAGAGGAGGCCAAGCGGATCCGCCTGGAGCAGGATCGAGACTACGCCAGGTTCCAAGAGCAGCTCAAACAGATGAAGAAGGAGGTAGTGAAGGGCCGTAGGGCGGGGCTGGGGCGGGGCTGGGCGGGGCTGGGGCGGGCCGGGGTGGGGTGGGGCCAGGCCGGGCCTCTGTGTTCTAAGGATTGGCCTCTGTCTTAGTATCCTGTTGTGGCAAAACGCCACGACCACAAGCATTTTGGGAAGGAGAGGATTTATTTCAGCTTACAGTTGCACTGCACTGCCCATCATGGGGGGTGTTGGGGGGCAAGGAGGGTCGGGGGGCAGCGGGGGACGGGCAGGAACCTGGAGGCAGGAGCTGACATAGAAGCCATGGAGGGTGCTGTTTACTGGTTTGCTCCTCGTGGTTGCCCAGCCTCCTTACTTATAGAAGCCAGGACCAGCAGCCCAGGGGTAGAACCAAGCACAGTAAGCTGGGTCCCCCTCGTCAGTCATCCATCAAACAAATGCTTCTCGGGCTTGTCCACGGGCCAGTCTGCTAAGAGCATTTTCTCAGCCCAGGGTCCTGCTTCCCAATGACTCTAGCTTACGTCAAGTTGACATAAAACGCCCATCACAGCTTCCCTTCTTAACAGAGGGGCTGCATGAAGCCCATCGCTCCAAGTCCTTGGGGCAGCCATCTTGGGGACCCTTGTGCCCAGCCAGAAAGCTGTGACACTTGTAGTTCTTTCTCTGTCTTTTGGGTGCCCCTTTCCTATGTTGGCTTTCCCCCAGGCGGGTCCTTTCTAGGTGGCTTCTGTCAGCTCCTCCTCTTCTTCCTCTTCCTCTTTCCCCTCTTCCTCTTCTTCCTCCTCTTCCTCCTCCTCCTCCTCCTCCCCCTCCTCACTTGGAGGGTTCCTACAGGTTCAAGGCTGCCACTTCCATGCTGTGGTGTAGCCTGCATATAGCCATCATACACCTTCCTGAGGCCCCTAGTTACCTCTGGGTCGTCCCTAATGTCTAGTGCACTGCAGCCGCTGTGCCGGTGGTTGATATAACTGAAGCACCAGCTCTGGTGAGGGGGAGTCTGGTTCACCAAGTTTTCCCTGAGGGGTTTTCCTCAGTCTGCATGTTGATGAAATGCTGTAATGGCTTGTCTCTCTGAATCTGTCCCTGTCTTGAAGCAGAGTTTATGAAATGGTTCAGAGGTCCCTAGCCCTGCACACCATATCCCTGTAAGGAACCCTGGGAGATTTCTTAGTTAAAAGCCAGATTGTTTTTCTGGTTGGGAAAACGGGGTGCCAACACAGTCAGTAACTTCCCTGCCCTGGGGTACAGCCTATCTGCTGTCTGGTGGGGCTTGTTCTCCAGCGCTGCCATGCCTTCCGGAGAACAGTGCTGGCGTGTAAATGGTTCCATGAGTCCTTGGGCCTGCATCTTTGCCAAATGGCCCCACAGGACTCCGCCTTCATTCTTCTTCTGCCTCTTCCCGCCTTCATAACAATGTTTCTAGCGTCTTCCATGCCTTTGACAGAAAACTCAGACCTTGTGCTTGATTGTGTTTTTAATGTTCTGTCCCCCAAACCAGAGCAATCAGCTTGTTTTTGTTTGGTTTTTTTGTTTGTTTTTGTTTTGTTTTGGTTTTTGGTTTTTCGAGACAGGGTTTCTCTGTGTAGCACTGGCTGTCCTGGAACTCACTCTGTAGACCAGGCTGGCCTCGAACTCAGAAATCCACCTGCCTCTGTCTCCCAAGTGCTGGGATTAAAGGCGTGCGCCACCACCGCCTGGCCAGAGCAATCAGCTTGTAAAGGTACAGTTCTAAGTCTAGAATTGTTGTGTGGAACTGAACACCACACCTGATACAGAGGCCAAAGTACACAGCTGAATTGTTCCTTTAGGAATGCTATGTAAATCTGTGTTTCTAAGCCAGAAATAATCTGTCCCCAGCTCTTTGGGACATTGACAATGTCTGCACACATTTTGGAGGGTGTCACAGCTTGGGTATGAAGTGGGGCCGTCTGTTGATCTCGCTGCTGACGTCCTGTAAATGCGTAGGACAGTACCTCCTCACATTCAAGTCCCCAGAGTCAGTAACTCGGTAGATAGGAGATGCACCTAGCGTAGAGAGGCCAGAAAACAAGGGACCAGACTCAGCTGCAAAACCCATGACCATTTTATAAAAACCAAGGAGGGGCCCGGAGAGATGGCTCAGTGGTTAAGAGCACTGGCTGCTCTTCCAGAGGTCCTGAGTTTAATTCCCAGCAACCACATGGTGGCTCACAACCATCTGTAATGGGACCCGATGCCTTCTTCTGGTGTGTCAGCAACAGCGTGCTCATATACATAAAATAAGTAAATAAATCTTTTACAAAATGAAAAGATAAAAAAGCCGAGGAAATGGAAGAGAGAGTGAGACAGGCTAAGCTTGCGGGGTTTGGAAGTCAGACGGTGAGCACGCGTCGTGACATCACACAGATGCTCTGAATCCATCCTGTCTCCATAGCGAGCAACCGTGAGTGATCCACTTGCTCATCTCCCCGGAGCCTTGGTCTCATCACTGTTTTTCTTTATCTACCCTAATGGTGTGGCGTGGCGTGTCACCGTGACTCTGAGTTTGCACGAGTCTCCTCATTTGCTCCCTTGCTGCCTGCGTGTCACTCTTGTGTGAGGCATCTGTCCAAAAATCTTTTGCTCCTTTATTTAGCTGGGAGATTGGTTTATTTTTATTGAATTCTGACAGTTTTCTTAATATTTGGACCACAGGTTCTTCAGGAGATGTTATTTTGCAAATATTTATTCTCCGCCCATGGCTTGTCTTGCAAACCCAATTGTTTCCTTTAGGGGTGATTCTTTTGATGTCTTATTTAAGAAGGCAAGGGATCCTTCCTTAGGCCTGTGGGATGTGCAGTCTTTTAGAAGTTTACCGTGTTTTGTTTTGTATTTTCCTGTGAGAACATTCTGAGTTGAGTTTCTGGAAGGATGAGGTGTGGACGGGCTCAGTGTTTGCTGTAGAATGCCTGTCCCAACACTGTGTGTTGGAAATGTCCATCTTCCTCTGCTAAGGTTTTTTTTGTGGGAAGGAGTTGACCGTGCATGAGTGGATCTGGTGTGGTGCATCTGGAGTCTGCTTGTATTACGGGTTCATCTGCCTGTGTCTGCCAACCCAGACTCTGGTAAACCTTGGCATCAAGCGGTGTGAGTCCCGAGTCATCGGCCGTTCCACCTCTCTGCCTTTTCAGACACATCATAGTATCACCTTGCCTGTCCTATAGAGAAGCCTTACCAGGACTTTGGGTCAATTTGGGTGGAATAGCCATCTGAACAACACTGAGCCTCCAATGACAGGCATTTTCTATATGTATATTTTCTTTGATATCTTTTGCTAGTGATTTTTAATTTTTATGTATATAAGTTCATTCTTCTTTTATTAGAATTACACATGTCTTTTGGGGAGGGTACTTTTATAAGATACTTTAAAGTTATCAATTTAGGGGACTGGAAAGGTGGCTTAGCAGTTAAGGGTACTTAACTGTACTTTCAGAGGACCAGGGTTCAGTTTCCAGCACCCAGGGGGCAGTTCACAATTGTCTGTAACTCCAGTTCTTGAAGGTGGGGCTCCTAGTTCCCTCTTCTGCCCTTTGTAGTCACCAGGCACATACGTGGTACATAGATATATACATGCAAGCAAAACACGCATAAACATAACGTAAAATAAAAATTAAAGTACCAATTTAGCTAATTACTAGATAGAGCTATATTGCTGTTAGTGTGGTGGTCTTGTATCTAGCATGACTTTTTCTAGTTTTTTGTTGTTGTTATTGTTTTGTTTTTTGAGATTCCTTGTGGTTTTCTGTATACACAGAAACAGTTTCATTTATTCTTTGCAGTTGATGTACCTCTTATAGGCTTTATTGTGCTGGCTCAGGTCCAGCGAGAAGTTGGCTAGAAATAGAAATAGTTCTTCCTTGTTCCCGGTCTCCAGAGGAACACAGTCAGTATTTCCTCATTAAGTTGAATGTTAGCACCAGAGCACTGATTTGATTCTGATTTTTTTTTTTTTTGAGACAGGGTTTTTTCTGTGTAATAGGCCAGGCTGTCCTGAACTCCATTTGTAGACCTGGTTGGATTCGAACTCACAGAGATCCACCTGCCTCTGCCTCACAAGGGCTGGGATTAAAGGCATGTACCACCATGACCAGCTCTTTTTCTTTAAAAAAAAAAAAAAAAAGGACAGGCTCTATCTTACTAAGTAACTGGCCAGCATAGAACAGGCTAGGTAGACCAGGCTAGCTCTGAGCTCAGAGATCTGCCTGAGTGCTGCATTAAAAATCATTACTGGCTTAGTTGTAGTTGTTGTTGTTGTTGGTGGTGGTGGTGGTGGTGGTGGTGGTGGTGGTGGTGATGGTGGTGGTGGGTGGGTGGTTGGTTTGTTTTTTTTGTTTATCAAAACAGGTTTTTTGTCTATCTGTTCTGGAACATACTCTGTAGACCAGACTGGCCTTGAACTCATAGAAGATCTCTCCCGAGTGCTGGGATTAAAGGTGTGTGCCACCACTGCCTGGTTCAAATTCTTTTCTAGTATACTCTGCAACTTCTTCTTTGACCCATGGGCTACTTCCTGTGAATTTTTAAAAAGTTCAAGATCCTTTTCTGATTCAGAACTGTTAGTAAGTGTTCCATCCATGCACGGGGTAGAGTGCAGCATGGATGTCAGCTTGACGGTGTTTTCTCAGTATTGAGAAAGACATGTTAATGCCTTTAGCTATAAGGGTGAGTTTGCCTGGTGCTCATGTGTGTCCATGTATATGTGGGTGCATGTGTGTAGCTTTTGAGTAGCTTTTGAGGTAGCTTTTGAGTGTTGGTCCTTGGGGCCATCTACCCTGTTTTTTGAGACTGGGGCTCTCTCTGGGTCCTGGGACTCACAAACTAGGGTGGCTAGCCTGGCTGGCCAGTGGCCCTAAAGATTCCCCTGTCTCTGCCACCTTCTGGGATTACAAACTTGTATCAGTGTACCTCGGTTTTCATGTAGCTACTAGGGATCAAACCCAGACCTTCAGGCTTGTGTGGGGAAGTCCTCTCCCATCTGAGCAGCCTCCTTCATCTCTCAGGCTCTCTTTACAGCTATATAGTTTTGGTTTTGTATTTTTGAGGTTATTTTGCTATGTAAAATTAAATTGGCATATTTGGGCTGGGTAGTGGTAGTGCACGCCTTTAATCCCAACACTCTAGAAACAGAAGCAGGAGGATCTCTGAGTTTGACATTAACCTGGTCTACAGAGCAAGTTCCAGGACAGCTAGAGCAACACAAAGAAACCCTGTCTCAGAAAAACAAAACAAACAAAAATTGGCATATTCTAGTTGGGTGTGATGGTGTGTCTTTAATCCCAGAGTCTGGGGCATATATATAAGTTTGAGACTAGCTTCACAGTGAGCTCCAGGACACCCAAGACTATACAGTGAGATCCTGTCTCAGGCATAATCAACAAACAAATAGCATATTTTGCCAGGCATGATAATGAATTCCCGATGTCCCAGATCATTGGGTGGCTGAAGGCAGCCTTGGTAATCTAGCAAGAGCCTATCTCAAGTGAAGCTAAAAGGAAGAAGGCCCCAGTGAGGAAGTGCTTACCCTGCATTGGCAGAAGCCCTAAATATAATCTTTAATACCATCAGTAAACATGTTGTTGTTGTTGTTGTTATTATTATTATTATTATTATTATTATTTTGGTTTGTTATGAAACAGGGTCTCTCTGTGTAGCCCTAGCTGTTCTGGCCTCAAACCCAGATATCTACTATGCTACTGCCTCCTATGTGCTGGGGTTGAAGGCATGTGCAACACAACTGGGGGCCTTGTTTTCTTCTCTTTTCTTTTTTCCTGTGATTGTTTTGTTGTTGTTGTTTGTTTGTTCGTTTTTTATGAGCCACCATGTGGTTGCTGGGAATTGAACTCAGGACCTCTGGAAGAGCAGTCAGTACTCATAACCACTGAGCCATCTCTCCAGCCCCAATCTTTGTTTTAAGTAGTATTTACATAGAATATATTTTGTGGGGCTGGAGAGATGACTCAGCTGTTGAAAATACTCACTGTTTTTGTAGAAGACCCCAGTTTGGTTTCCAGAACTCATATCTGGCCTTCCCAGGCACCTGCACAGAGTATAGGAAGCACTTGTATATACAGGGTGTATATGTCTTGTATATACAGGATGTAGTGTATATACAGGGTGTATATATCTTGTATATACAGGGTGTAGTGTATATACAGGGTGTATATATCTTGTATATACAGAGTGTATTGTATATACAGGGTGTATGTATATCATGTTTATACAGGATATATATGTACACACTCCCACATACACAGACACATACACAAATACACGTAATTAAAAAATAAAGTAAATCTTTGAAAACTTTTTTTTTAATTCTTCTAACTTGCTGAGTAACATTGGTCTCTTACTGTCTATACATAGTTGGACTGTTTTCCAAAATGCAGCCTGCAGGTCTCCGTTGTTTTAGTTGGGGCGTTTCTGCCGTTTATGTTTCAGGGATTGTTTCCTGCTTGTTCCTCTAGTCTTCGTTCCTCTACTTTTCCGTTTCTTGCCTATCGTTTGGAGAACTTGACTGTTTTTACTACTCCACGTTAATCCGTTACTTGGTTTAGATATTCGCCTGTTTGTGTCTTATACTTGGTGGTTTCTCTCGGCATGTGCTGTAATGTGCACACTTTGTCATTCAGTATCTGTTTAGAATGTGTACTGTAATGCCACAGTGAAGTTACAGAGGTCTCAAGACTCTGTACGTTTCTTTTTGTTTCTGTAGGCAAACAACCCTGTTAGGGTCATTTAAAACAGGACTTGTCTTCCGTGGGCGGAGGCTTCATTTCCCAAAGCTGGTGTTGCTTGGTGCAGAGCTGACCCTGTGGCTTTTGGGAAGCTCATTCCTAGAAATAAGGACTTCCACTTTCATATATTCTTCTTGTGACATTGACCCATACTGTCTGGCCTGCCTAGGACCCATTTCCTGATTCTCAGGCCAGAAACACGAGGTTCCTTAGGAAGTTTGCACTGCCATTTCTGTTACTCCACTGTGCAGGTCTGGGGGTAGTGCAATGGTAGGAAAGGCTTAAAGGAGCTGTTCCTTCCTTTCGTGGGTACCAGCTTGGGCAGACACCTTTCTAGGGAGTCTTATGTCTCCCAGGAAAGAAACCAGCTTCTCCCAGCAATTTAACAATGGGCCCAGCAAGAGTCACGTGCTTCCTCAAACCAATCCCTGTGGCCAGGGATGTGGACTGCTCTGGGTCCTGTACCAGCCTAGATCCCCTGTGAGCCTGGAGGGAGTCCACTCACCTGCACCTTAGGGACTATAGCATCTCAGCAGAGAGTCAGGGATCCTGCAGAAGCAGAAACACCTTAGGAACTGAAATCGATACTGACCCCAGAGACCTTAGGTATTGACAGCATATCTGTATAACTGATATTTCACGCCTTGAGAGGACTAGGACTTACAGTGCAGCCAGAGAAGGAAGAGCCATGGTGCAAGCTGTCCTCTGTCCACCATATCTGCTGCAGGTGAAGAACGAGGTCGAGAAACTACCCCGGCAGCAGCGGAAGGAGAGCATGAAGCAGAAGATGGAGGAACACTCTCAGAAAAAACAGCTGCTGGTGAGTGTTCAGCCTCCAGCACGAAGCAGAGAGAACCCAAATAGCAGCTGGCCCCCTTCTCTTACCTGCCCAGGCCTTCGGCTTGAATATCTGCCTCCTGTTCTAAGTGCCTAAATCTAGCCTGTCACTCACTGGCCCCTATGATCACCCCCTCTGATTGTCCTTGCTCCCCTAGAGTGAGCCCTGTCATGTCTGGCCGCTGCAGCCTGCAACCTAGTCCTGCCTGCTTCACTGCAAGATTGTTCATCTGTCACATCTCCTGTCAGCCCAGATCAGTCACCTGCCTGCCTTGGTGTCTAAAAGACAGCAAAGTCTTGATCTCTCAGACTTGGCTCTGTTCTTATGTCCTGAGGAGAAGCTTGCCTCTGTCCTGTTGGCAGGCAGGACCTTTGTTATTCCCAACCCACCCTTCCCTCCACTTCTTTATCTCTTCCTGATGTGTGGTACACACACACACACACACACAAACACAACACATTTCCTCCTGCACACATTAACACACATGCCTCAACACATAACATACAACATATATACATGCTAAACATACACTACAGATGTACACCACATACACATGCCAGACATACACATAACACACATAACACATTCCCTATTACATACAATGCACACGCCCCAACATGTAACATACTACATACATACATACATGTTAAGCACACACTACAGATATACACCACACCAGACATACATACAATACACACATGACACATGCCCCTCATATAACACACTATATACACACACGTCATACCTGCCCTGACATATAACATACAACATACATGCATACTAAGCACACACTACAGACACACATACATTTCCATCCACCATATGTCTCTAATCTTTGTGCCTGTACATCTGTCAGTGCTGTGGGATCCACAGTCACAGCTCCCCCAGCTTCACAGCTGGTCTCCCTTCCTGTTCCCTCACTTCTTTCTCTCAGAGACAGCAGGTACTGTCGACATGAAATCCAAATCTGCCTCTGTTACCCTTCCCTCAGCTCTGGGCCTTCAAACAAACCCTCCGTCACTCTCATTATGTCTGTCAGCTGAGGGCCAGCTCCTCACAGTGCCTGCTGCTGCCTGCCTGGCCTGTTGGCCCCGCCCAGCTTGACCTTCACCCTCAGTCCAGTCCCCCCACACCCTGCCCTTGCTGGAATGCTCCTGTTTTCCTCACTGTTGGTTCTTGCACATGCCGCCTCGTCAGCCCTGGTGCAGGCAGTTGTAGCCCGTGTTTACTAGATGCTTGACATGTGACCCGGTCCAGTGCCTGTGGTACCTTGGGGTTGGAGTTACTTGGTTTTCCATTTGCAGAGGAAATCGTAGCTCAGAAAGGTGACGGTGCAGAGTTGACGGCAGCGGGGCAAGGCCTAGTCCTTGGTCTGATTCCAGAGTCCCATCCTTTTCCAAGTACCTCACAACCTGGCTCTTTCCTCTGGGTGAGGTTGGTTAGTAGAAGAAACAGGCTTTTATGTTCAGTAGCATAGAAGGGTGCCCATACCCAATAGTAATGTGCATTTCTCAACACAGTAACGGAGATGGAGTCTTTACTGTTTTACCATAAAGGAACAAATACCTGCGGTGATGGATGTATGAATTCCCCCAAACTCATCAGTACATAAGGCACGCGTATACTGAGACGGTGCTCTGCACTTGTTATTATGAGCAGATAGCTTTTTAAAACACAGGGCTGTGGGCTAGAGAGATGGCTCAGTGGTTTAGAGCATTGTCTGCTCTTTGCAGGAGATGTGGGTTTGGTTCCCAGCAGCCATGTTTTGCAGTTCACAGCCACCTATGACTCCATCTCCAAGAGATCCCTCTTCTGGCCTCTGCTGGCACAGATACATACACGCCAGCCAACACACACACACACACACACACACACACACACACACACACACACAAACCAGTTGAAACAAACAGACCAAGGCTGGTGAGAGAGGCAGACAGGCTCTCATCTTCACAGAGAGAGGGAGACAGCTGTCTCCAAATCATCTGTGTAAAGCCTCGTCATCCCTTCCCACAGGACCGGGACTTTGTAGCCAAGCAGAAGGAGGACCTGGAGCTGGCCATGAAGAAGCTCACTTCGGAAAACAGGCGTGAGATCTGTGACAAGGAGCGTGATTGCCTTAGCAAGAAGCAGGAGCTCCTCCGAGGTGGGGTCCAGAGTCACCCTGAGTGGTGGAACTCAGGGCATCCCCCTGCCCCAAGAAGTCAGGAGTGAGGCAGGGACACCAGTTACCACTGTACGCAGAAGTGGCATCTTGTGTGGCCACCACCTGCCCCACTGTGTGCTAGTTTTCACACCTGACCTCTTGCCGACCTCCTTCTCCTTATAAGACTGCCCTCCCATCCTATGATCATGATCCTATGATCCTGTGATCCTAATGTGTGATCCTAGGATCACATGATCCTATGAGGAATCTGAACTGGGAGAGAGGCCCTGCTTCTTGTCTGGTGGTGCTTCTGTGTGTTCCACATTCCAAATGGCTTAGAAGCAACAGAAAGGCAGCAAAGCCCGAGGTCAAGGCTCTGTTAGACTCAGTGTGTGCTGAGGACCTGCTTCCTCATGGACTTGCTCACCCCGGTTATCTCCACCCGGGTTCTCCGTCAGAACCCTTCTCAGTTGCCCATCCGAAAAGGAGTGTTATGTAGATAGTCTCAGTTTCTATGGCTCAGCCAATGTGGTCTACTGAGGTAGCCCAGGCGCCCATTCCTCTGAGCCCTCGGGTTGGTTATCAGTCCCAGTGGAGACCTAGGGGGGTGGGGGAGGATGGATGGCTTGTTCTGTCTCCTGCCTTGTGCACTCATCACCGTGTGGGTGGTGTGTCCTCCACAGACCGTGAGGCAGCCCTGTGGGAGATGGAGGAGCACCAGTTGCAAGAGAGACATCAGCTCGTGAAGCAGCAACTTAAGGACCAGTACTTCCTGCAGCGGCACGACCTGCTGCGTAAGCATGAGAAGGTGAGGCCGGGCGGTATGAGGGATGGCTTGATGGCGGCACCCAGGAAGGGCTGCTGCAGCCACAGTGCGGGCCCAAAGACCTTCCCCAGGTGCCCTGAGTGAGGAACAGGAATCAAGGACACTATGTAAGGGATAAAGACAGGGCAGGTAGCTCCCTTGCTCACCGTAACACCTCAGTGCTTGGCTCTCTCAGTTCAAAGCCAGTCCTGGGCTACTTGAAACTGCTCTACCCATCCCTTAGTGGGAAAAAAAGATGATGCTTCTTGACTTACTGGGGGTTCTCTCCCCAGCAACCGTCCTAACTTGAAGGTAATATTGTAGATGCTCTTCAGGCACAGGCCCGGTGGGTCCCCAGTTTAGTTACACAGGTCTGAAGTAGCCTATCGAAGGGTGTTTCCTCTCAGGAGCATGTGGCCAACCAGAGCTGTGGCTCACTGCCACTGTCCAGCATCCAGAAGATCGTACTAGATTTTGTCCACCCAGGAAAAGATCCACATTCAAAGTATGGGCTCACCTGAATCCCGTTGTCTTCAACACCACTGCAAAGTCAGAAAGCTGAGGGTCAAACCACCAGGAGTCAGAGATATTGTAAGATTAAAAGAAAAACAACAACAAAAACAAACAAACAAACAAACAAACAAAAAAACAACTCATCGCTGCGGGAATGACTTGGTGGCTAAGGGAGTTTGCCACCAAGCCAGATGACCTGAGTTCAATTCCCACAGCCCTCATAGCACAAGAAGAGAACTGATTCCCGCAGTGTGTCTTCTGAGTGTCATGCTCATGCTTGACCTCCACCCCCAATAAAATAAATACACGTGAAAAGAAAAAATTGAAGGAACAAATGTCGTTGAACTGTAGAAATGAGCTAACGGCTTTCCTGTGCTGGCATCCTCCCTGCCAGAGCTCCCCTCACCTCTGCTCGCTGTCCCTCCAGGAGCGGGAACAGATGCAGCGCTACAACCAGCGCATGATGGAGCAGCTGAAGGTCAGACAGCAGCAGGAGAAGGCGCGGCTACCCAAGATCCAGAGGAGCGATGGCAAGACGCGCATGGCCATGTACAAGAAGAGCCTGCACATCAACGGTGCGGGCAGCGCCTCCGAGCAGCGGGAGAAGATCAAGCAGGTGGGGGCTGCGTCTGGTCGGCTGTGCGCAGTGAGCGTGGGGGAGCTTGGTACGGACTGGCCTCAGACAGCATGGGAGCATGTCAGATATTAGATAGAGGCCAGTGTATAAGTCAGTCTTGGCCTGGAAGTTTCAGCAGCCCAGGAGAAACCTCCCTTGATGGACAGACCCCTTGATCAATAGGGTTTGTCATGCACTCATGACGCCGTGCTTTTACATGCATGACATTCTGTGTTCTCACCCACCATGACACTCCTGTGTGACATAGGCCCCTGTGATTTTTGTCCTGGCACATGTCATCTTGCCCTATCAGGTGACACAGCAGGGTGACACCTACCAGTGTGAGGTCAGAGGCTGGGTCTCCACTCAGGACAAGTTTCAGTCGTGAGAGCGTAACCTGAGGTAGTCTGGGCTCAGAACATCACCACCCAGTCCTGGGATGGGCCTTGCTGGCTCCCAGGCTGAGCTAGGCAAAGTCCTCGTGCACCCCTACCCCCACCCCCGGCCAGCCATCCAGGCGAGGGCCCGCCAGCCCTCAGTGGCATCCTCTTTCTGCAGTTCTCCCAGCAGGAGGAGAAGAGGCAGAAGGCCGAGAGGCTGCAGCAGCAGCAGAAACACGAGAACCAGATGCGAGACATGGTGGCGCAGTGCGAGAGCAACATGAATGAACTGCAGCAGCTGCAGGTACTCAGCCCCATGCCTCAGTTTCCCCAAGGCAGTCAGTGCTCAGAGGCCAAGGGCTCCCCAGTAGGGTTGATCCGAGTTGATCAAGCCCAGGCGAGCTGATGCCAGCCTGCCATGCTACTCTAAGGCTGTTCCCCAGGGCAAGTTGGACGGCCCTCCTAGCCTTACTTTTTCTCTCTGAAGTAGCCGTAGGGTGGAGGTGATGTCTCCTGTTGGGCAAGACTGGTATGTGGATTTGTGAAGAGGGTGCTGGAGCTGAGTGTCCCTCCGTTTGGCCCCAGGCATTAGGAATATGAACAAGCAGGAGATGTTTGTCCATCAGAACCTGAGAGTGCTAGAGCCCCCGCCTGGACTCAAGTAGCCGAGCACCTGAGGGCCCAGTTCCAGGAACTGCTGCCTGGCGCCCCCTTGTGGTGGAGCCAGGAATTGTACTTGACAGATGGTGCCAACTCCAGGCTCTGTGAGCTTCAGGAGTTGGGCCCGTGTGGCAGTTTGTGGTAGGCAGGGAGACTCGCAAAGGATGACCAGCACTGAAGGCTGCCAGGCAGGGACTCGTCCATGTGGGTTTTAGCCAAGTATTCTCATGGCATCATTATGTGACTATTGTCTGAGAGATCCACCGAGTGGTATACACAGTTGGTCACAGGACACAGTGCTCTGAGTATTCATGACTAGGTAGATTTATAAACTCCGAGACGCTTCTAGCTTGAGGCCCAAAATAAAACCCCTCTGAGGGGCTCTCCTTCCCCAGCTTGTAGGGCTTTTTTCTTTTCTTTCTTCTTTTCTTTTCTTTCTTTCTTTCTTTCTTTCTTTCTTTCTTTCTTTCTTTCTTTCTTTTTGTTTTTCTTTTCTTTTAGCAGATAAAGGCCTTGTTCTTGCCTTAGAAGTTCCTGTAGCAGGGCTCAGTCCCTGCAGGGAGTTAATAGGGACCTCACTCCTGCCCATTGCATAGACCTCAAGTAAAATTTAGAAGGCTAAGGACTTGCCTCAGAGCATGTAGCAGAGATAGGGAGACCCCTCAGCCTCGTTCCTCACTGGGAACTTCTGAGGAAATGACACGAGGCAAGAAATATTACATATTAGTTACATGCATCATGTGATATGTAATTAGACACAATGCACAATTATACGTACATATGATATACATTTGTATAATTATACGTTCGTAAGTAACTATGCACAGAGATTTAGTCTGGTTGGGCTGCCATAGAGAACTACTGTTGCTGGAGGCAGAGCAATGCACCTGTGGTCCCGCCGTTTGAAAGGTGTCAGCAGGCGGATAGCTGGGGACCAGGGGCTACAGGTTGCAGCTTATTGATTCATTTATGGGATGTTTGTGCATGTGTGTGAGTTTGGGCCGGTGCACACCCTGGCGCACACCCCGGCGCACACGTGCAGTTCGGAGGACAACTTTTGGAAGCCAGTTCTGTCGTCCTTTCACAGTGGGTTCTGGGGATTGAACTCAGGTTGTCAGGCTTTGCCCATTGGGCCCTCTCACCAGCCCAAAACTTTTTAAAAAGCCAGACAATGTCAAAAGCACACAGAAGGGCAGGCGAGATGCTCAGTGACTTCTTACACAGTGGGCACACAGGCCCAGCAGTCTTAAGTGTGATCCCCAGAAGCCATGCAAAGGGGAACAGAGAGAACTGAGTCCATATATCTGGCCTCCACCATGGCATGCGTGCTCACACAAGCACACTATCACCATCCTGGAATAGCCATCCAGGCACTGCTTGGTGCAAGTGTATTACCCACATGCAGAGTTGTGGATAATGGCCAAGGCATAATGAGCCCATGGTGGCAGTGCCCTCGAGAATGCTGTGGGTCTGTTTCCCCAGCCTTCTGCCTCCTCACCCCTATTCTGCCTATTCCAGAATGAAAAGTGTCATCTGTTGGTAGAGCATGAAACCCAGAAGCTGAAGGCCCTGGATGAGAGCCATAACCAGTGCCTGAAGGAATGGCGAGACAAGCTTCGGCCACGCAAAAAGGTACTGCACTGGGCTCTTGGTTACTTGCCTGGGACATCTGAAGCCTCCCTATTTTTAAACTCTTGCCTCATGGCATCCCTAAATTGGTCTCTTCCTGAGAGACAGGACCCTTCTGCCTGTTGTGCTGAACACTGGCAGCTCTCTGAACCCCTGGGATAGCAGGGCCCATCTGCATTGGTCCATATGCACCTGGGGCAGAGGACCCCAGGCTGGCAGGAAGACACTCTGTGGGGTCAAAGGCCAGTGCTAGCCACTTCACTTTCTGAATTGGTTTCCTAATGTGTAAATCACGGTGCTTGGTCTGGGGCGGAGCTCAGGGACCAAGTACCTGCCCAGCATGTTTGATGCTCTGGGGTCTGCCTCAGCACCAAAGCAAACAAACCGCCATAACTTAACTCAGGAGCGTAAGCCATACTCTTTATCAAAAGCTATAGGAAAAGAATTCAAAAGGTCTCTGCAGGACATCTCCAGGGTCTCACAAGGCCAGAGTCAGGCTGGGCCGGGCTCTTGGCTGTGGCTCTGAGGAAGGAACCCTTGCTGCAGAGGTACTGTGACCAGGTGCTTCGTGCTCTCAGCACCTCACCTTCTCAGGATGGGCTGCCCCCTCTAACTGTGAGCCAAAACAGAACCTTCTGCTGTTAGCTGCTTCTCTCTGGGTATTCAGTTGCGGCCACGAAAAGGTAACTAACACAGTGTACATCACAGACCTCAGCGTGGTCCTGGTGTGATAAGATTATAAGGTTATCTAAAGAGTCATTAACTCACAGCATTCTTGTTTTGTTTTTTTGAGACAAGATTTCTCTGTGTAGCCCTGGCTGTTCCGGAACTAGCTCCATAGACCAGGCTGGCCAGGAGCTCAAAAACTCCCGTGCCTCTGCCTCCCGAGTGCTAGAACTAAAGGCATGCCCCACCCCTGCCTGGCCCAGCATCGTCATTCTTAGACTCTGAGGAGGGTTACCCTTGACCTTGTGACCCATGACCTTGTGCCCACATGGCCTGATATCCTGAGGGTTTTTTTTTAGCCACTGTGTACCCAGACAGGAGGCAGGCCATGCCCTGCTGGGATTTCTGACACTAAGCCCACAGGTACCCATTGTTCCAGCTGGCTCTGGCCTCAGAGAGTGAACGTGCACCTGCTTGTCTGGCTCTGGGCGGCTGTTTCCTGCTCACATCCTAAGGGTCTGGAAAATGAGCAGTCGTCCCTCTTGGCAGCTTCCTGTGACCTTCGATGGTCTCTCAGACTCCTGGGAGCACCACAGGCCAGTGCTTGGAGAGCCGGCCCTGCACCCTGCCTGTGGGACTGCCTCGGGACAGGATGCTGTCACAGCTGCCCGAGTTGCTGCTGGCAGAAGGGCCCAGAGGTGATGATCCTTTGTGCTCTTGAGTTACACTCAGCAGCCTTGAGCTCTGTCTCCCTCTTATAGCATGTCCTGTGGAGTATTTTTAGAATTCAGACGGCTTCCTTTTAAGTAAGTGCAGACTTCCTGATGTGCTGGCATCACTGTGAGGACAGAGTAGGGGTTCAGTGTAGTCTGCTCCCTCTCTTTCTGGCCTGCCTCACCTTGCCTTGTTAGACCATAAAATGCAGAAATATTATCTACTGTAAGCTACCCTTAGCTGCCGGTGGGCTGAGTCCACCCCATTCCCCATTCGTTAATAGGTTTGTTTTGAAAGAAATTCATTGATTAGCCTCCTATGGCTGATGCTGCTTTGGGACAGCAGTTGCATATTGCTATAGAAACTATGGCCTGCAAAGCATAGTGTCTTCCCTGTAGGACAGGGAAGCCACCCCATGAGATCTCGACGCTGTCACATAAACAAGGCCGGCACAGTGACAGCACCACTGATCGTCCAACATGGGTGGGAGAGGGCTCTCCCACGGCCTCACTCTGGATGACGAGTCTGAGGTAATTAGACGGCTGCTGAGGGAAGAAGTCGTCTCCTCCTGGGACGAGGGGCCCTGAGAAGCCGTCTGACCCCAGACAGTCCTCTCTAACATGTGTGCATATGAGCAGCAGCAAATGGGCTCAGCATGTGTTCACAGACAGATGAACAGCATGTGTATATCTCAAGGATAACTAAAGAAGTCGTGGGTTTCAGAGGACCCTTGGGGAAGATGGAAGAAATGAAGTAAATATAGTTAGTACTCATGTATAACATTCTCAAAAAAAAAAAATGTTGAAGTTTACTATTTGATACACAGCAGGTGACAGCCTGCTGCCTGTGGTGGGCAAGGGACAGCAGGGCTAGAGTCACAGGCACTACTCGCTGAGCTTCCCCTCAGCAGACACAGAGGACCCGAGTATTTGGGGTTTCCAGTCCTTCTCCACATTTGGGATATTTGTATACGTATAATGAGATATCTCAGGACAAGGCCACGTTAGTTCCTTCTCTTGTCTTGTTGTAGGACACCAGACAGAGGTTTGTTTTGGCTACACTGATGTTTGAGGTGCTGATGACATAGAGGCAGAGAGAGGGAAGCAAGGCTGTTGTAACTCTGAGGTCCCCTCCCCCGTGACCCTAGCTTCACCAGCCACACCTTCCACCAGGCGGCACACTCCCAGCACCCAAGTCTAGACACACTTGGTTGTGTCTCCCAGGTCCTTACACACAGCCAGAAGGTGTTTTTGACATACTCACCTTTTGATTGCCGCTGGACCTGTGAGGTCAGAAGTGGTGTCTTTCACTGTGATACTGGTCTAGCACTTTAGAGTTCAGATTTTGAGACATCTTGAACTTTTGGAGTGGGGATGCTTAGCTATTCCTAGCTTTGAAATTGGGTGATGTACTAAGCCACTCTGTGTCTAAACAGCAGCAGAGCTGTGAGTGACACCTCCAGCAGGGTCACACACTGGGCCCAAGGAGGTCACACACTGGGCCCCTGGAGGCTCACACACTAGACCACTGGGAGCTCACACACAGGACTCCTAGAAGTTCACACACTGGACTCTTGGGGGCTCACACGCTGGACACCTGGGGGCTCACACACTGGACCCCTGAGGGCTTACACACTGGACCCCAGGGAGTCACACACTGGACACCTGGGGACTCACACACTGGATTCCTGGGGGCTCACACACTGGACTCCTGAGGGCTTACACACTGGACTCCTGGGGGCTCACACACTGGACTCCTGAGGGCTCACACACTGGACCCCAGGGAGTCACACACTGGACACCTGGGAGTCACACACTGGACACCTGGGGGCTCACATACTGGACCCCTGAGGGCTCACACACTGGATCCCTGGGGACTCACACCCTGGACCCCTAAGGGCTCACACACTGGACCCCTAAGGGCTCACACACTGGACCCCTGAGGGCTCACACACTGGACCCCTGAGGGCTCACACACTGGACCCCTGAGGGCTCACACACTGGACCCCTGAGGGCTCACACACTGGACCCCTGAGGGCTCACACACTGGACTCCTGAGGGCTCACACACTGGACTCCTGAGGGTTCACACACTGGACTCCTGAGGGCTCACACACTGGATCCCTGGGTGCTCACACCCTGGACCCCTGAGGGCTCACACTGGACCCCTGGGTGCATCACTGAGCCAGTATAGTAATTTTCAGGGTTTTAGGGTGTTTTTGTTGTTGTTTTGTTTTTTGAGACAGGGTTTCTCTGTGTAGCCCTGGCTGTCCTGGGACTCCCTCTATAGACCAGGCTGGCCTTGAACTCAGAAATCTACATGTCTCTGTGTCCAAAGCTAAAGTGTACGCTTCTGCCACCACTACTCAGCCAGGTTTTGTTTGTTTAATTGCCAGCCTTTAAGTGGAGATTTTACATAAACCCAAATCCGGTTTCCTTTCCCACAGGGTGTCTGATCTTGTCTGAGGGCCCATGCTCTCCTGTCTCTTCCACTTCCTTTTTGAGCTAGTGCTCCTGTCTGAGTGCCCTTGGGAAGCCTTCCTAGTTGGCTCTTGTTTATCTGGATAGACGAGCACGTGCCCAAGGGAAGCTCCTGTGGAAAGCACCGTCCATCACCTGAGGAGCTCAGCCCCCGGGTATCTTAGGATCAGACCCTCAGAGGGACAGGCACACATCCTCCCAGCAGGCAGTGAATGTCCTGACGGGGTGAGCATGTTGTCACTCTGCAGTGAATGTCCTGACAGGGTGAGCATGTTGCCACTCTGCCATCTCTGACTTTCTTGCTGATAGATTCCCCCCTGGCTTCTCTTTATTCATCTGCTCTTTCCCATCTCGGGAGTCTGGCCTGTGCCCTTTACCCCTTAACAAGTGTTTCCTCAGGGTTTGCCCTGGGCCTGTGAGCAGTTCAGGAAGGTGTGTGGCATGTGGAGGGAGTGCTTACCTCAGGGACCTTCCACCCAGTCCCCAAATCCTGGGTGGGAGCTGTCTAGAGCAGGGCGTGCTATTCTGTGGTTGGAATCCCTGGCATCCCACTGAACACCATCTGCTCTCTCTTCACCAGGCCCTGGAAGAGGATTTGAACCAGAAGAAGCGGGAACAGGAAATGTTCTTCAAATTAAGTGAGGAGGCAGAGCCCAGACCCACCACACCCAACAGAGCCAGCAAGTTCTTCCCCTACAGCTCTGGGGATGCATCCTAACACCCACAGCCCTGGGCTGTGGTGGGCAGCGCAGCCACTGAGGCCTTCAAGCCTCTATGAACATGTGACTCAGGGCCTCTTCCTCTTGCTTCTGTGCCAGCTCAAATTACCCATCCCCCTGCAGCAGCCCAGTTGTCCACACTGCCACCCTGGTGCTTCTGATGGATGACCTCCTCAAGACTCAGATTCCCATCACCTGGAAGTGACTTGGGCTTTTGAGGTCAGGGGCCAGGCGGGATGGGTGTACCCCTCCTGTTTGTCCAAACACCAGCTCTACTGTCTGTGGGCACAAGCGCTACCAATGACATCACTGCAAATTCATCCTTGTTGTGATCCTTGTGGGTTTTGGTTTTTTTTTTCTTCTGTTATTCCTCACTGTGTCGGAAAACATCCCTAAGAGCCATTTCGGTTCTCAGCAGCCAGCTCTCGGGTGTCCCCGTCCCCCTGCTTCACACAGCTGACTTTGTGCTTGATGAGACACTGAGACACTGTGTATGTGGGGGGAGGGAATGGGGAAAGAGGAGGCCAGAAATAATGTTCATTCTGCTGGATTCTGACATTTTATCCCATCTTATTTTCCCTCTCCCTGTCACACACACACACACACACACACACACACACACACACACAATGCAAACACATCTTGGCCCCCCGACACCACCCAGGCTGCCTCTGTCATGGCCTCCTAGGGACAGATGCATTGGAACCTGCTTGCTGCCTCCTGAGCCTGATCCTGGGCCACAGAGCATGTCAGGTGGAGCAGCTGGTGGGGCCATGCTGAGCGCTGGCACCAGAGCCCAGAGAAGGCACAGGCTGTCCTGCCAGCCTGCAACTCATTTGGCTGCACACAGGATCCTGTGTTCAGGGGTACACTCCCCTCCACACTTGACTTCTGCTGCCTAGCATGTGCCAATCTCACCCTTGCCTGCTTGTCTGCAGGTACCCAGGAAGGCTCTTGATCTTTGCCCTAGTCCTGTACTGGAGTCCCACTGTACATTTGAAGTAAGCTCTGGACTTCTTTGTTCAGGAAGAGATGCTTCCCACCCTCAGGAACATGCTGAGCTCAGGAAAATGCCGAGCCTCCATGCCTGGGCCTTCGAGTTGCTCAGGTCGCCTCCCAGGATGCAAAGCCCCATAGGCTACCATGCCCAGAGAAGCAGCTGATCCACTCAGACTGATTCACTGATAAAGCTTTTCATGACTCTGATGCCTAAGTGCTCAGTTAAAGTACAGGTAACTGACTGGCTGCTTCAGATACCCTCTTTTTAAAAAGCCCCTTCACAGGGGTGGTGATGGGATGGGGTGGGGGAGGGGAGCCCAGGCAGTTGAGTCTGGCAAGTGGCAAAGACCTCAGCAGTATTTCTCCATCACTGCCCAATGCTGAGGCAACTTTCTAGAACGTTTCCTTGGTTGAAAACTGGGTGCTTGAGAGGAGGTGGGCTAGAAAAAAAAATAGGAAAACAGATCTTGGAACTCCCAGATCTTGTGTGCAGTAGAGAAGCTCACAGAGCCCCCAGGAAAGCAATAGTTCTCAGGGTAGCGAGTGTCAGCTTGCTTTCAGGCCTCATACCAAGGAGTCTTGAGGAACAGTTGACTTCCTTCTTTCTGGTGCATGGGGGCTGGGAAACACATTGTCAGAGTGCAGGGGTTGGACTCAGAGACGGCGGCGTGAGTGGGCAAGGCCACGCCGGCAGGTGGCCAGGCAGGCTCTGCCATTGTTTACAATCTCTACTTGGTTGCATTCGGGGAACTTGACAGTGGCTACTAGGCAAAATGCCAGTTTTGTGGTTCAGGTAACAGTCTTTGACCACTCCCTGATATATTGGTCTAGGCCTTTGTCCCGTCCATGCTTAGTACCACCTGAGCCCTGGTAGCTCTGCTGTGCCTTTTGGAGTGGGGTCTAGCCTAGTCTTCCAGCCTCATACTGTAGCATAAGTGCAATGCCTGCCGCTGATGAAGGCCCACGCAGTATTCTTCATGCCCTGCGCTAACAGTTTCTGTACAGGGACAGGCAGAAATGTTTTTAGCGCAGTAAATATAGCTAACTTATATTCCCCTTCATGAAGGATAGAAGTAATGTGTACATCATTCCCAAGCGCTGTGTATAATTTTTGTAAACTGTTCTCTGCAAACAAAAAATTGTAAATATGCTTCTAATAAAATAATAAGGTGATTTGCATGTACTGTCGTTCTTTCTGGTTGGAAAGGGAAGACAGATGTGCTTCCCATGTGTCTATCCTCTGAGTCTGTAGGAGCCTCCTCCATCAGGCAGCAGGTCAGACTTTGGGGTTTCTGATGGAACCCCAAAGAGAGAGGAAAGAGGCCATATTCTCTCTGGCCATTCAATATCATTCTGATTTAAAGATGAACATTGGTTAACAAACACCTCCAGATTTCTTTTGTTATTGGACTGAATTTTTTTCCATAACTCTGATAAGAAAGTAGATTTTGGGCAGAGCTATCTGGCATTATGCTAATCTCAGGACACTGCTGAGGGACACCCGTAGAATTCAACCTTAGAGTTTCTCCCCCACCCCCACCATGATGCCACCACACCTCTCTCCAGCTGGCACTGCTTGCCATCAATGTGGTATTTTAAAGGAATTTTTCAGGACAGACTTAACTTGATGGTCAAGTGCATGCGCAAGGGTCTGGGCTCTGTCTCTGATCTAGGGGGAGAAATAGAAATATAGTTTGCATTTGTCTGCCTGTGCCTCTCAGAATATTGCTTGTGTTCTTACCCTGGGATCCACAGGTAGAATTTGAGGTATCTCTGCACTTGGCTGTCAAAATATGTGGCCTTTAGTTTTCCTGCCTGAAACTGAGTGTTTCCCTTCTTAGTGGAGGTGGCAACAACCTCGGAGATGTCAGTGGGGCTCCTAACTGTCACCTGAAGAAACCACAGGCGTCCCACCCTGCACGGGTTTTTCCCTCAGTTTTAAATTGTGGTGACTCACCCTGCATTGCTAGGTCCGGGTTACTGTGTCCCTGCACATGTGCCCTGTTATTTGCATCATTTATTAACTGTCGCTACAGTTTTTCTAAGTCATTGATACCTATTTATCCTAATGATCAGTTTCATTTGTAATCAACGTAATAACCTCATTGTCACACGTTTCAAAATATTACTTTGAGAAAGACTTCAGATTCATTGTGGAATGAATACAAAAGGACTTCACAGTGCACAAAACAACACAAAACAAAAACAAAACAAAACAAAAAACAAACGGTCTGCTTCTGCTTAGCACCAGGCTGCTGCTGCCCTGGAAATCTTGTGACCAGCAGAGGGCAGGCCACGACCATGGTGCTGCATGGCCTCTGGACTCAGGCTGTTGGTGTGGACACAGCATCGATTGCTGATTGCTTACTGTCTGGGGATGTAAATGAGCAGGCACCTGGCATGCTTGCCATTAAGAGCTAGAAAAGTGAGTTTCCAAGAATTCAGGAGACTGGCGGGCCCCCAGGGCATTAGGAAATGTGAATAACTTGGGAAATGAAATCATCCTATGTTAATTGAACCCTCTCAAAGCAACCGGTCGTGGAATGAGCGATTCCTGGATGCTGTCTTCAGCATGCACACCCTAATGGAGACAGAGACTTGGGGAAAACAGCATCGGTTCAGACTGACTGCTGCCTGGGAGGATCAGGGGACACTCCCTAGGAGAGCCACCCTGTCCTGGAGGGCAAACAGGTCTATTCTAGAATGACATGCCCTAAGGCTGGCTGGAGTAGATGGCTCATCACCATAAGGCTAGAAAGAGGTTGGGTCAAACAAGAATGCCAGGCCGAGACAGCTATCCTCTAAGAACTGCAGGCAGAGTGGGGAAGAGGCTGAGAAGGACTGAGGAGTCATTCTACCAGGCCATGCACTGAGTTTAGAAGGAAAGGAAGACCCACCTGCAAGGCTGTTTAGCAGAGTCTTAGATGCTGCATTTAGAGGAAACACATAGCTCTGTGGTATCCGAGGTATCTATTAGGTCTGGCTAACAAGGGCATCTAACAACCATCAAAACAGAGCTTCTATGCCCAACGGTAGCAGAAAAGGTCATTCAGACCAGTCCTAGCACCGAGGACAACTATATAGCCTAGGAAAGAGGCTGGAGAGACGGCAGCTGCCGCTCTTTCAGAGGACCTGAGTTTGGTTCCCAGCACCCACATCAAGCTGCTCACAACTGCCTACTGTACCTCCAGCTCTGGGGGATCCAAAGCCCTGTTCTAGCCTCTGTGGCCACTCACACACATGTGTACATATAAACATACATAAATGATAAAATTAACATTGAAGAAGAAGAGAAGCAGGGTAGTGGTGGCACACACCTGTAATCCCAGCACTAGGCAGGCAGAGGCAGACGGCTGAGTTCCAGACCAGCCTGGTCTACAGAGAGAGTTCCAGAACAGCCAGGGTTACACAGAGAAACTCTGTTTCACAAAACCAAAAACAACAAAAAAGAAGCAAGAAAAGGAAGGAAGGAAGGAAGGAAGGAAGGAAGGAAGGAAGGAAGGAAGGAAGCGAAAAAAGAAGGAAGGAAGGAAAGAGGGAAGGAGAGGAAGAGAGAGAGA